AGAACCTTTGTGTGGTCCTTGTGGCAGAGCGGACGAATATTATACTCAAGGGGCTAGTGCCCAGGCACTGGTATCCTTTGAGGAAAAGAACTTAGCTGAGTCTATGACAATAGACAAGAACAAACCTGCCCTATGATTAAAAAAGAAAAAAAGGAGATTTACCACAACAAACCTCGGTGTGTCACTTCAGACACACCATCCACCCTGGAGCACTGAACATAGCTCCCTGGCCACACACCTCTAGTTATTTCCTGAAAACAAACCTTCCACTAATCCACTCAGACATAGTCCAAAGATAAAAGCCACCAAAGCAGGAAAAACAAGAAACCGAGGAATATCTCCACAAATGCTGAATAACAAATGCACCGATTCAAGAAAGAATGGAGGACAACGTGACACCCCCAAAAGAACACAACACTTCAGTACTAGATTGTGAGGATGAAGAGACTGAAGAAATGCCAGAAATGGATTTCAAAAAATTGATCATAGGATTACTTAGAAGTAATCAGAAGCAGAATCATGAACTAATGAAATCATACATGACATGGAACAAAATTTCTCCCACGAAATTGAGATCTTAAAGAGAAATCAAAATGAAATCTTGGAAATGAAGAATTCATTAGAACAAATAAAAAATACAGTGCAAAGCCTTAACAGAATCGATGAAGCAGAAGAAAGAATACCTGACTTAGAACATGAAGCATAGGTAATTATACGGTCAGACTAAACACAAGAAGAAATGAGAAAACTAAAATATACTGTTGGTAATCTATAGAATACTATCAAAAAACCCAACATACGGGTTCTAGGAAATCCTGAAGGCATGGAAAGAGAGAAAGGATTAGAAGGCCTTTTTAGTGAAATAACAACAGAAAACTTCCCTAGTTTGGAGAAAGAAAAGGACATCCAAGTACAGGAAGCACATAGACATGAGCCAAAAAGAACTTCACCATGACACATTGTAATCAAACTCTCCACAGTAAAACATGAAAGATTCTAAAATATGCACAGAGAAATGGCAGATTACTTTCAGAGGATCTCCAGTTAGACTCACAGCAGACTTTTCATCAGGAATGTTACAGGCTAGGAGAGAATGGGGAGATATATTCCAAGTCTTAAGAGAAAAAAAACTGTCAACCTAGAATACAATACCCTGCAAAGCTCTCATTTATGAAGAAAGGCAAAATAAAGACCTTCTGTGACAAACAAGTTGAAAGAATTTGTCACTACCTGTCCAGCCCTGCAGAAGATGCTTAAAGATGTATAAACACAGAAACATGGTCATCACTACGAAAGACAGTAAAGGAAGGAAATCTCCCAGTAAAAGTACAAAGGAAATCCAAAGTGAAAAATAGGAATATTAATGTAAAAGTGGCAGGGCAAAGTCATTACTTATCAGTAGTCACCTGGAATGTAAATGGACTCTCAGTTAAGACACAGACTGGCTGAATGGATTAAAAAACAAAACCCATCTGTTTGCTGCCTACAAGTAACACATCTCGCCAACAAAGATGCACGCAGACTAAAAACAAAAGGATGGAAAAAGCTATTCCATGCTAACAGAAACCAAAGAAGAAATGGTATAGCTATCCTTATATAAGACAAAATAGACTTTAACACAAAAAGTATTAAAAGAGACAAAGGACACTATGCATTGATTAAGGGATCAATTCAACAGGAAGTTATAACTGTTATAAACGTATATGCACCTAATTAGAGGGCACCCAGCTATTTACAAGAAATGTTAAGGGATCTAAAGGGAAACATAGACTCCAATACAATAGTACTGGGGGACTTAAGTACCCTACCCCACTTTTCAGCAGTGGACAGATCAAACAGAAAATCACCAAAGAAACAGCAGAGTTAATTGACTGTATAGACCAAATGGACCCAAGATATTTACAGAACTTTTCATCCTACAGAATATACATTCTTGCTGAATGCACATTCTTCTCACCAGAGCATGGAACTTTTTCTAGGATTGACCACATTCTAGGCCATAAAACAAGTCTCAGCAAATTCAAAACACCAGAATTGTACTATGCATCTTCTCAGACCACAATGGAACGAAGCTGGAAATCAGCAACTTAGGAATCTCTAGAACATTCGCAAACACGTGGAGACTGAACAGCATGCTCCTGAATGAACAGTGGGTCATAGAATAAATCAAAAGAGAAATCAATAAATTTCTGGAAACAAATGAAGATGACAATACGGCATATCAGACTTATAGGATACAGCAAAAGCAGTGTTAAGAGGGAATTTTAGAGCAGTTGGTGGCTACATCAAGAAATTGGAAGGGCACCAAATACGTGAACTATTAATGCGTCTTAAGGATCTATAAAATCAACAGCAAACCAAACCCAAAACTAGTAGGAGAAAAGAAATAATTAAAATTAGGAAATCAACAAAATTGAAACCAAAAATTACAAAAGATCAGCAAAATGAAAAGCTGGTTTTTGGAAAAAGTAAACAAAATTGATGTACCACTGGCCCAACTAACCAAAAAAAAAAAAAGAGCTGTATGGCAAGAAACTGGGAAACGTGGAAGAAATGGTTAGATTGCTGGACACATACAACCTACCTTAATTAAGCCATGAAGACAGAAAAGAAAAAATACAAATGACCAACAGACACATGAAAAAATGCTCAGGATCACTAGCCGTCAGGGAAATGCAAATCAAAACCACTATGAGGTTTCATCTCACCCCACTTAGAGTGGCTTTCATACAGAAATCAACAAGCAGCAAATACTGGCAAGGATGTGGGGAAAAAGGTATCTAATCCACTTTTGGTGGTAATGTGAACTGGTAAAACCATTTAGAAATCAGTTTGGAGATACCTCAGAAATCTGAATATAGACCTACCATATGACCCGGCCATCTTACCTGGGAATTTACCCAAGGGAAATGAAATCAGTAAATAAAAGAGTTATCTTCACCCTGATGTTTATTGCAGCTCAGTTCCCAATAGCTAAGACATGGAATCCACCTAAATGCCTGTCAACTGAAAACTGGATAAAGAAATTATGGGATATGTACTCTGTGGAATACTACACAGCAGTAAAAAAAAGAAATCTGATAATTTGCAACAAAATGAATGAATCTGGAAAACGTCATACTTAGTGAAATAAGCCAGTCCCACAGGGACAGATATCATATGTTCTCCCTGATCTGTGAGAACTAATAGAGCACCTGAAAGGAAATCTATAGAAGTGAAAATGACACTTTGAGAAGCAATGACTTGAATAACCCTTGTTTTGACTGTTGAAGAACAGTTTTTTCTCTTCTTCATACTATTTGTTGAACTCTTTTTTTTTTTTTTTTTAAGATTTATTTATTTATTTGAAAGAGTTACATAGAGGAGAGGCAGAGAGGGAGGGAGGGAAAGAAAGACGTCTTCCATGAGCCCATGAGAGCATTTCAGGCATGGAAAGCCAGGGCATTGTGGCAAAAATATGTCCTATATGAAGTATCTCTGTGAGGGAGACCTCAGTGGAAAGAAGTGGCCATCAAAGAAGGATGTACTTTTCTTTGAAGGGAGGCGAGAACTTCCACTTTGTTTATTGCCATGTCTAAATACTGATGGAGATTGTGGATTCAGAAGGCTTCCTTAGCCTTGGTAGCTCATGTCAAGAGCCTTGAGTGATCACTGATGCCATACATAATAGTGTTAATTGTTAAATTAACAACAGGAGTCACTGTGCACTTCCCATGTAGGACTTCTGTCCTCAGTGAGTTGTATTATGAAAATTAACTCTTAAAACTTATTCTCAGTTTTTTTTGGTGCATGTTTGTGTGTGCCAATTGTTGAAATCTTAGTATAGAATTGGTCTTCTGTGTATAAAATTAATTGAAAATGAATCTTAATGGCAAATGGGACTGGGAATGGGAGAGGGAGGAGGAGGTAGGGTGGGAGTGTGTACGTGAGGGCAGGTGTCATGGGAAGAATCACTATATTCCTGGAGTTGTATTTATAATCATTAAATAAAGGGTTTCTTTTGGGGCGGGGAAAGAAATGCATGTGTCAGCAAATCCCATAGAGAGCAAACAAAGATATAAGTGAAAGATTACTGAATACGACAAAGAATTCTGTCAGGTAGAATGAGTATAGATGACCTAATCAGCAAAGTGTGGAAATGTTGCCATGCAGAAGTGAAGGTGCTGTAGAACTGGTGTTTGTCATGAGAGATGATTAAATGGAAGGTCTTTCAAATGGAGCAGCATGGCCTCTCATGCAGACTTGAAAGCAAGTGAAAGCCAGAGGGGACTGGTGGGCTGGGAGAATAGGAGAGGATGGAGAAGTTGGAGATAAGTTGGCAGTGAAAATTGTTAGTAAGTCAGAGTGTGAGAAGTAGAAGAGATGTTGCCCAAGCAGATCACGTAGATCTGTGAGGGGAGCCGATGCACATGGGCTGCTTGTTCAGAAGGTAAAGCAGTGTAGACAATAAATGAACAGGAGAACAGCCAGTTACCAGAGTCAGGGGGCCGGTGGTGGGGGAATTGCGAGAAGAATGAATTTGCACCTACACTACAAGTCACAGATTGAAGAGCTATAGAGACTGAAAGCAGTTGATGAAGTAGAATTGACTTGATGAGCTCTGACACGCTGAATTGTCAGTGCACTAGAACCATCAGTGTATCTGTCAGATGTTTGGCAGGGCGGTTGTGGACCCTGGTGTTGATATGTGCTAAAAGCTTGATGAGCAAATTCAGGTTCAAGTTTGCTGTGGTTTTGGTAGCATCTGCAGTATGTTTGATGACACTGGAGTGCAGTGCCTATCCCATATTCAGAACCAGTTGTTAGCTGCCTGGTTAATGTGTGGTTGTTTCACCTGTTTCTGCCATTAAGGAAATACATTCCTTAGTTTTAGTTTTAATTGTATGTATCATTTGTTAATTAATATGGGATAAGAGAAATGTATCATCCTTTTCTCTTAGGAATTCAGAGTACATGTATGAAAACTAGTCAACTTATTGTGTAATGTTTCTTATTTGTAGACCATTCGACGGAAGAAGAAAGTTCAGATACCAGTAAGTCGTCCTGATCCTGAACCAGTGTCTGATAATGAAGAAGATAGTTACGATGAGGAAATCCATGACCCGAGAAGTGGCCGCAGTGGTCTGGCAAACAGAAGGAGTGAGAAGAGTTGGGCAAGGGATAGAAGTGCGAGTCGAGAGAGGAGCTTGTCTCCGCGATCAGATAGGCGGTCGGTGGCCTCTAGCCAGCCTGCCAAACCCACCAAAGTCACTTTGGTGAAGTCTCGGAAAAATGAAGGTATTGGCTAACAATTCTTTTGTTACTTCCAGATGAAACTTTTAAGACAATGTTAACGAGAAGTCGGATTGCTATCATCATGGCTTTGCTGTGTTGTTCAGCTTCTGTTTTGTGTTTGTATCATATTGCTGTGAGTCAAAGAGAACAGACTTGTTACAGCGGGCTTGAAGGATGTCCATTCTCTCTTCTGGAACCATTTTGTTGAAGCGGATTACGCTTCAAATAAACTGTCCAGCGGTTGGAATTTGGATTTGTTGTTGTGATAAGAGCAGCTAAATACAAATTATGCTACCAGGAAATGTCACTCCATCACCAAATTCAAATCCAGTGTTTCTCTTACCTGTAGTAGTATAGAAACAGGGGAGAAATTTTAAGTGGGGAAGACTGTTCTCAAATGGAGGGATTGAAGGGAAAGAATCCCTTTACAGAACTTCTGTAATATTTTTTTAAATTGAGGCTCAACTGCTTTCCCTCACCCTTCGTCAGACTTGGTAAGAAACAGAATGTTTTGAAGGCTTACTTCCACCTGTTTGACCACCTGACATAGCTCCTTTAAGGTACTCCTCCCACCCCATTCTGTGCTGTCTACACCCGCTGTCCCTCCTGCACTTCACCACTCACTCGCTCTTCAGCCCTCTCTGGTCTGCTAGCTGGCCCCTCCTGCTGCACAACTGTGTGCATTACAGCCAGTAGAAACTGGTTCTGATCTTATCTTCCTTTTCAATATCATTTCACAAGTTAACCACTCCCTCTTTTTGGAAATAATGTTATCTTACGGCATCTGTAATGCTGAATCCTTCTAGTCCCTACCCCCTTTTTTTGTATTTTGCGGGCTTGGTGTACTTGGGCTACTCCTTAATGCTCTGTGGGTTCTGTCCTAGACTCTTTCCACTGAATGTGATTTCTTTCTTTCTTTTATTTTTTTAAGATTATTTATTTGAAGGGGGGAGGGCAGCACAGAGAAAGAAATCTTTTTTTTTTTTTTTTTTTTTGACAGGCAGAGTGGACAGTGAGAGAGAGAGACAGAGAGAAAGGTCTTCCTTTGCCGTTGGTTCACCCTCCAATGGCCGCCGCGGCCGGCGCACCGCGCTGATCCGATGGCAGGAGCCAGGAGCCAGGTGCTTTTCCTGGTCTCCCATGGGGTGCAGGGCCCAAGCACCTGGGCCATCCTCCACTGCACTCCCTGGCCACAGCAGAGGGCTGGCCTGGAAGAGGGGCAACCGGGACAGAATCCGGCGCCCCGACCGGGACTAGAACCCGGTGTGCCGGCGCCGCTAGGCGGAGGATTAGCCTAGTGAGCCGCGGCGCCGGCCAAGAAATCTTCTATCTGCTGGTTTACTCCCCAAATGGCTACAATGACCTGGGCTGGGACAGGCCGAAGCCAGGAGCCAAGAGCTTCTTCCAGAACTCCAGCATGAGTGGCAGGAGCCCAAGCACTTGGACCATCTTCCGCTGTTTTTCCCAGGCCATTAGCAGAGAGCAGCCAGGATGCGAACCAGCACCCATATGGGATGCCAACACTGCAGGCGGTGGCTCTCCTCATTACACCAGCCAGCAGCCCTTCACAGGATCTCTCGGCAGTCTTGTCTTTGCTCCTTGCCTCACTCCCTGCAGCCCTTCACGGGATCTCTCAGCAGTCTTGTCTTTGCTCCTTACCTCACTCCCTGCAGCCCTTCACGGGATCTCTCGACAGTCTTGTCTTTGCTCCTTACCTCACTCCCTGCAGCCCTTCACAGGATCTCTCGGCAGTCTCGTCTTGGCTCCTTGCCTCATGTCCCTGCTGGTGGTAGCAGTGCTTATTTCTCCAGCTCAAACCTCCCCACCCTTGAGTTCCAGCTGACTGTTAGGCACATCACCTAGATGTCCCGGGTAGGTCCTTCAGTCTCACACACCTCCATCAAAACACATCTCCCTCTAGAAGCGTCTGCTTGTGTTTCTTCTGAAGTGTCTGGTTGAATATATGCCTGTCTGTCCAGTTTCTGAAGCCAGTCATAGATAAGATGGTCCACGTGATGGTGTCCTAACTTCCTAAATAGCACTCTTACCCATCCCACTTCTGTCTTTGTCTGCTACTACCACCCTTTTCCAAGCCGCCACCATCTCTCGTGGGCTCACTCAGCCTCGTGCCTGGTCCCCGGGTCCCTTTCAGTGGGTTCTGCAGACTCTGTGACGTGCTCTGTGATGTTTCCTTGTCTTTGTTGCTTCCTAGTCTCAACCATCCTACACTTAGGATTTCATCCAACCTGCCACGTGCTTCCCTTCGTACTTCTCTGTATGTTTGTTTTAAATCATTGCATCAACGCCATGCTCCCCCACCCTCTCCCCCACCCCAAATTCAGCACAGTCTTCTGGTATGATTTTCTGTTTCCTGTTTAAAGTTCTGCCTTTAGCATTTCTTCCTCAGAGTGGCCTACTCTGACCCCACTGTATGCAGTGCCCTGTACAAGGGGTCTTCAGAAGGTTCGTGGAAAATGTATATTATGAGAAATCTATTCATGGATTTAAATTTTTTTATGTGTGAAAATAAACTTACCTTGTAATTCTATTTCAGCGAACCTTTTGAGGCATGCTCATATTTCCACTGTCTGAACTGCTTGTCACATTTGTGATTGCCATAGTAACGCCTTTTTCTTTACTGACAAGGCAGGTTGCCAGGCTTACAGGGACTGTTTGTCATTTTCTACTTTATGTGTAGTGCCTGGCATAGTTACGTTCCCCAGGAAATATTTGGGATAAATGACCAGAATAATCTGTAAGTAATATTTAATGGTCGTTTATAAGTTTTTTTTTTTTTTTTTTGGACAGGCAGAGGCAGAGTGGAAAGTGAGAGAGAGAGAGACAGAGAGAAAGGTCTTCCTTTGCCGTTGGTTCACCCTCCAATGGCCGCCGCGGCCAGCTCACTGCGGCCGGCACACCGCGCTGATCCGATGGCAGGAGCCAGGAGCCAGGTGCTTTCCCTGGTCTCCCATGGGGTGCAGGGCCCAAGCACCTGGGCCATCCTCCACTGCACTCCCTGGCCACAGCAGAGAGCTGGCCTGGAAGAGGGGCAACTGGGACAGAATCCGGCGCCCCAACCGGGACTAGAACCCAGTGTGCCGGCACCGCAAGGTGGAGGATTAGCCTAGTGAGCCGCGGTGCCAGCTATAAGTTTTTAACCTTGAATAAGATAAGCCTTAACCGCTGCTCTGTCCCTGTGTGAAGTAATGGCCATTTCCAAAGCACATATAGCTATTTGCCTAATTCCTTGCCTGCATCTTGTAAACAGTAATTCCTCCCCACCCCCACTGTCTTCCTGCTTATACTCACTCTCGGTATATTTATCTTAAGTTAAACTTTAACTGTGGTGTAACTTTTAAGGCACTTGAGTGGCAGGTCTGCTAATCTATCCCCTATTAAAAGCACTGTTCTGTCCTGGTGTTTATGTGTTGAATCTAGTAAGTCTCAGAGTCGTCTTTCTCTCCTCGCACAGTCAAGGACAGTCCTTTTCCTAGTGACCTTATACTGATAGTTGTGTTGTAAAAAGATTTTTTCTAGAGATGTTGGCAGAACCTATTCTGGTTCTCTGGACTCTCCCGGTGACGTCTTCAACTTTGTACCACTCCCTGGCCCACAGAGTTACTGCTGCCTCATTGCTGTGCGCTGCACTGTTTGTATAGAGGAAGGACTTGGCACGCGGTCTCCTGCTCACGTCTGCCTGGTGGATGTCAGCCTGTGGGCTCATACAAAGTAGTGGACACTGCGTCTCTGACTAGGGCTCCAGAACCAGATGTGTGCAGGATCAGAAATACTCCTCCAGGAGCTTGGAAGAACAGAAGTGACTATCAATAATCGTCATCCATAGAATGGTCAGACTCCCCCAGAGTGTCCGGCCTCAACCAGCTTGCTTTTTAGAGTCATATTCATTCTGAGAAACTCGTGGTCAAAAAATGATGTTCTCTTCTGGCCTTTCTTCCTTTCAGCACAAAAATATTTTGTTTGTAGCGCACACTTCCACTTTGATCTCAGGATGACATTGCAGACTTTCTGATGATTAGATAGAATGTCATAATTGCAGAGTGGGCAAGAATAATTTCTGATGATTCATTGTATTTTAAAATTCTTGTGTGTGGATTAATAGTCTTATGCCTTTAAAACTCTGTCTTGGGATTTTACAATAAAGATGTTTAAATATATTTATTTCAGAATATGGTCTTCGATTGGCCAGCCACATATTTGTAAAGGAAATTTCACAAGATAGTTTGGCAGCAAGAGATGGCAACATTCAAGAAGGTGATGTTGTATTGAAGGTATAGTCACATTGTTTCATCCTAATGACCCCAACCAGAAAGCAGGTGCCAGAGTTACCATAGCGCTGCTGGTGTCCGAAGCTGTTTCACCCGCGAGAATTCAAAGTCAGTGTCTGAGGACCAGGGACCCAGCACGCCTCTGAGCATGCCTCTGAGGCTTTGGGTATGAGATCATCCTGGAAGAATTAATTGCTACAGATGTGTATCATTCAGCAGCAGAAATGACTTTGTAGGTAGACAAGTCTGCTCTTACACATTAAGTGGTTTTGACTGTTGCTGCGGAAAATATAGAAATGTTTGTTTTATTGGTTTGCTTATGAGTTATAGAACAGAACAGGATTTTGGGAGGGGCCAAGGGATGCTAATTTGGCTTTTTCTAACAGCAACAGTGTTGTAAAGATGTGATAGTTTGAGGAAGATGGAATGCTGAAATAATTCAGAAAAGTATAAAGGGGATACTTTGATTCTTTTTTTTTTTTTTTTTTTGACAGGCAGAGTGGACAGAGAGAGAGAGAGAGAAAGGTCTTCCTTTGCCATTGGTTCACCCTCCAATGGCCACCGCAGCCAGCGCGCTGCGACCGGCACACCGCGCTGATCCGATGGCAGGAGCCAGGTGCTTCTCCTGGTCTCCCATGGGGTGCAGGGCCCAAGCACCTGGGCCATCCTCCACTGCACTCCCTGGCCACAGCAGAGAGCTGGCCTGGAAGAGGGGCAACCGGGACAGGATCCGGCGCCCTGACCGGGACTAGAACCCAGTGTGCCGGCGCCGCAAGGTGGAGGATTAGCCTAGTGAGCCGCGGTGCCGGCCGATACTTTGATTCTTAACACTAGTTTGAATAATTCTGTCTGTAATAGACTAAGTTAACATTTGTATCCTATTTGCCACTTAATTTCAACCTGTAGTTTTTTCTTTCCATTGCAGATAAATGGTACGGTGACAGAAAATATGTCATTGACTGATGCGAAGACGTTGATAGAAAGGTCTAAAGGCAAGTTGAAAATGGTAGTCCAGAGAGATGAACGGGCGACCTTGCTGAACGTCCCTGACCTTTCTGACAGCATCCATTCTGCTAATGCCTCCGAGAGAGATGGTGAGTGGGGTTTGTTTATAAGTTCCTTTTTTATGAAAATTTATTTGAGAAGCAGAGATAATAGAGCTCTCACTCCCAAAATGCATGCAGTGGCCAGGGCTGGGCTGAGGCCAAAGCTGGGAACCAGAAGCACAGGGTAGGTCTTTTACATGGAGGGCAGGAACTCAGATATTTGATTCAGGGTCAACATCAGCAGGGAGCTGAAATCAGGATGCTGATCCAGGAATCCAACCGAGGTATTCCAGTGTGGGTCATGAGTATCTTAGCCACTAGGTGACATGCTTGCTCCCAAGTGACCTATTGAAGTACTGGGAAGATTGAATTTGTCTGAGGGAAATGATGCTTTTCTATAAGTTAGACACATTCTACATCTAAGAATTGCAAATGTACATGTTCTTTTGAGTGTGGGTAGCTTACCACTATTATCTGATCACAACTGATGAAATGAATGTGCACCTCAGCCATTTCACATGACATCATATTTAGTAGCTTATTTCAGGTGTCATTTTAGAACTTTCTTGTGATTATTTCATTGGAGAATAAATAGCACACTTTTATTGAACAGACATTTCAGAAATCCAGTCACTGGCATCAGATCATTCTGGCCGGTCACATGACAGGCCTCCACGCCGCAGCAGCCGGTCCCGCTCTCCTGACCAGCGGTCTGAGCCTTCCGACCACTCCAGACAGTCTCCGCAGCAGCCCAGCAATGGCAGGTATGGCACTCTGCTGTTGAAAACAGAGTGGAGGTGCGATGATGCCTGTGTCTGGACTTGCTCAGAAATAAAGAAGATAGGTTTCTTTTTATTTCTCTGGTTCTCTTTGTCAGGTTAGGTATTTCTTAGCAGAAGGCAGTCAGACTTTTTCATAAATGTCCAAATAGTAACTATTTTAGGCATGTAGGCCGTATAGTCCCTGTCACTGGTAATTTTGTCTTTGTATCACAAAAGCAGCTGTAGACAATATGTAACGGATGGACGGGGCTGTGTTTCAGAAATACCATTTACACAGATAGCTGGCCAGCAGCTGCCGTTTGCCAACCCATTGCATTAGAAGATGCTCTCAAGCCTCAGGAGTTTACTGTTTAGGAATGTTACCTACAGTAGAAGTCTGTTTAATAGACAGACTGACCAAGACTTGTCCCTTTTTTAAAAATATGCTGTTAGTTATGCCAGAGGATCGGATGTGCTGTTGGTATGCAGCCCACCCGAGGTTGTCTTGTCTTTAGGATCACACTTTCTACAGTTGAGAATCTTAAGAAACTTAGGACGCTTCTCTCCAGAAAAATGCATATGTGCTCATCCATGCAGCAGTTTGCCTAGTTTCTGGTTGTTCCTTGGGCTCTGTGGGCCATTGGCTGACAGGTGATGAACAGCAGTCTAATGGAGATCTGGAGAAAAGTGCATCTAGAGCTGAAAAGACCTCTAGGAGAAAGGAGAACCCTTATGCATTGTTGGTGGAAACATGAATTGGTGTGGCCTCTATGTAAACAGTGTGGAGATTGTCCAGAAAATTAAAAATATAACCACTATATGATCCAGCAATCCCGTCTCTGGGTATGTATACAGAAATATCTGCACTCTTGTTTATTACAGCATTCCTCACACTAGCCACGGCATGAGATCAGCCGAGGTATCTATCAATAGATACCAACAGTGGATAAAGATAATGTGAAATACACGCAGGGATATAATTCAGCCTTAAAAATCTTCCATTTTGCAACAAAATGGATGAACTAAGATACTATGCTAAATGAAACAAGTCAGACACATGAAGGCAAATACTGTGTATTTGTCTCACTTATATGTGGGACTCAAACAACTGAATTCAGTGAACACAGAAGAACATAGAAGGGCTTAGGCCACGGAGACATGGCGGGTGTTGGTCAGAGGTCATGAAGAGGCCATACAGGATCAGTAAGTTCTGGAACCCTCATCACAACGTGTGGCTCCAGTTCATGTGTACTTGAGGTTTGCTGAGACTACGTCTTACCACACAGACACACAAGTAGGAGACTGTGGGAGCCGATGACATGTGAATTCCCTAGACTGTGGTCATTTACAGTTAATACGTGTGTGCCAAAACATCACTTGGCACATTTCCAGTGTATACGATCTGGGTTTATCATTTATTCCTCAGTAACCTGGAAAGAAAACTGCATTAGAGTGCAGAGCTGAGAACAGGCTAGGGTGAGAAGCACTGATTTGGTAACATCTGCAAGAGGTACTTGCTGAAACCAGAGAAGTCACTCAGAGCAGCAGTGTAGAGAGGTGGCCCAGATGGCTGCAGGGAGGGGAGTGGTAACCAGAGGAGGGTGTGCCAGCCAGGAGAGAGCTTCTCTGAAGTTGCGCAGCCCCGTTGTCAGCAAGCCTTCTGCTCACAGAGGTGTTTGGCTTTCTACTGAAGCAGAGAAGAGGGTAGCTTCTGAGAGCTCTGAATATGTGAATACTGTTGCTGTTACTGCATCACTGTGGTTTTAGTTACTTGTGGGGCTGATTCTCCCAACATTTCAAATTTTAGATTTATAGATTTTGTTACCCCTAGTCTTTATTTTAGTATTATAATGATTTTAAGGGAATATTATGGTATGTCATATGCAAATTATTTTATAATTAATGATTATCTTTTAACTGCTGCAACTTAACATATTAATTCTGAAAAAAATCTCCCTGATCCAGCATAGATGTTATCGTGAAAGGGATTACTGCCACAGCACACACAAAGTGATGTAACGGCACCTTTGAGTCACGGAGCAGCCTGTCAGCTCAACACATTTATTTCACTTTGATAGGCTGCTTCTGTCAAGCGATTTGGGCATGATCTTCCTCTTCTAAAAAGTGAAATCCAAATCTCAAGATTTTGGCCATTTGTTTTGATTGCAAGCAACTTTTAGATCTTAAGAAATTCCTTTTGTTATCTATAGTGTTCATTTAGTTGGTCTGAACCAACTAGTGTTCATTTAGTTGGTCTGAACATTAGGCATGTGTAATTGTAACTTGAAAATACAGAAGGTTTTTTTAAACTATCTTCATATTGGGATGTTTTGTCTTTCTTAGGAAGTGTTCTCGTGGATGACACCAGTTAAATGGGAGCTTTTAAAAATATCACATCCTGGGGCCTGCTTTCATCAGAGACAGAGGCATGGAATGCTTTCTTTTATTTTTAAGTTCCTGATAGCATTCTTTTCTTTATGCTATCAGATTTGAGAACTACTGATCAGAAAGTGTAGCATAAAAAGAAAGGATAATACTACAGTGACACAAGGACAGGTCTTCAAATTCTTCCCATATTGTTGTGCTAAGAGTTTAATTTCTGAAATTTGGTAACTTGCAAACAGGCAAGATGTGAAATACCAGTTGATGAATGGCTTCATTTTTTTTCCCTTATAATCTAAAATATGTGGAGTTTTAATTTAGAGGGTGCCTTGCATTTTGAAAAACAATATAAATACATTGTTAAGAGTAAAATGCTAGTATTAAAAACACCATAAGACATCATTAACTTTAGCTTTTTATTTTTATTTAATTTTGTTTGTGTAAATGTCTTGTGTCTTTACAAATGTTATTTCAGTTCTGTTGTTGAAGGAAATGACAGAGTACTGATTCAGTTTCTGAGAAGTTTCAACTTGATGTATGAAGAAGTCTGTCGTAAACAGCAGCTGTGCCCCTGCTCTTTTGTGTTGGTAGGATGTGCAGCCATCTTCTGGGAATAGCAGCAACTTCGTATACATCTTCATTTTGCTAAGTCACCAAAGTAGTGCTTTCTGTGGGGTTTTAGCCACACGTGTGGGTTCATGTCCCAGCACATTGCTTGCTGCCTCAGTTCGCCGTCTGCAGTACAGTAGGCAGGCATCTGTACGTGGTGCAGGCGTTCACTGTTGTTATGGTGACTGGTAGTAACGGTGTCATGAGTTAGGAGTTCTCAGCATGCTTTCACATCTGCTTGTGTTTAACCTTTTCTTAGAAAATTTCCTCATTTTGTAGGTAAATAAGCAAGGTTGAGAGGTGTGATAAAGTTTTTGTAGGGTTGCAAAGTTGACATAGTTTACAAAAGTTATGAAAGGAACTGGGGCCAGGATTTTAAAAGAAGAAAAAGTACTCCTGGCCTTTTGACTCAAATGCTTGACCTTGCAGGCCAGAGCAAGGAAGGTAGTTTAATTGCTGTTTAATCTTTAGAGAAGAAAGATGTACAGAGACTTCCATCCTTGTCAGGGCCTGCTTGTGCTCCTCTTAGCAAACATTTGCAGAGAATTCTGACACAAACATGCAAGCTTGGTCTTTGTTGTAAACACATGAAACAAATACCCTCACTGCTGTCTACTCAGGGCTTGGCAGACTGTGCACCAGGTGCAGCTTGCCCACCCTCTTTTGTAACCAAAAGTTCGTTGGAGACCTGTCCTGCAGTGGCACAAGTGAGAAGTTGTGTCACAGACTGGCCAAGAAAAGTTTTGCCAGTACCTAGTCTGGAATGTTAGAATAGTTTTGTTTGCAAACAGTGTATGCATAGAGAGACTCCTTACAGTAAGTCTCTGAAGCCTTGATGTCTGTTGCTTTTTGCTGGGTTGTTTGGTGTCTTATTCCGCTGCTCTGGCTAAGACTTGCATTGTAGGAGGATTGGCAGTTCATGAGGCACTGTCTCTTGGTGCTTACTGGTAGTTGATGTTGCTGACGAGACTGTTTCCTGCGACTCACTGCAGTGTGTGACTAGAGAGTACGTGACTCGCTGGTACGTCCTGAGCCTCCGCGTGGCTATATTGTTCTCTCCTGGGCACTGGCAGTTCATTTGGTGGATGTAATTTATGACTTGTCATAAGCAGGTGCTTTTGATTGAGGAATTTCATTACACTAAAAGCTTAGGCGAATAGGAAGGTGGTGAAATGTGAGAACATTGGATTACCAAGATTCACATTTTGTATTACACCAGGTCTTTCCATGAAACTGACAAAGTTCATCTGAGGCCTAAGGCCCTCTTTGGGAACGTGTTTGAGTGCTGGAAGTGTGAGGGAAATCTTCGTGAATGGGCAGGCCTACCATTTCTTATCAGTCTGATCAGGAGATAAAGAGCAGTTTCCATGAACAGAGGAAGTCTAGTGTAAAGAAATTGAGCACATTAGGAGATGGAAATAATGAGGGGTTGGCTAGGAAGGATTCGAGAGAGTGCTAAAGGGAAGACCCGCAGATGGAAGGAGCTGTCCCTGCCTCTGGAGCTGCCATTGCATGGCAGAGTTGGCTGTGCTGTGCCGCCAGACTAACTTGCAGGTATTTGCCCTCTGTGCATGGAGGAGCCCTCAGGGGCTATGCCTCACGAAGACATTGCACTGGACACCATCACAGAGTCGCTGGGGCAAGCTGCTGGCCCCTGAATCCTTGTGTGCTCCGTGCCCCAAGAGCACGTTGAGGGACTCACCCCCCTTCCTGGGTGTCTCCAGCTCCTGCTGCTGACCAGGCTGCTGCCCTGCCCTCTGCCCTCACTAAACGGCCCCAGCAGTTGTGATTTCACAGTGGAGGTTTTCACCTGGCGTGGCATTGCTTGCTGTGTGATGGTGTTACTCTGCTGCCCTGCTTACACACTATCCCATGAGACCCGAAGCAGACGCTTCTGAGACTTCGTTCCACTTCACCTCTGACCATAGGGTTCTTAACGAAACCCAAGCTTCTAGACAAGCAGGTCATTACCATTAGATTGATATGTACCAGTTAAAATTTTAAAAAACAAAATGTTTCCTTATCCTTCTGGGAGAGAACAGGAAGTTCCCTGGAAGGGTCTGACATTTCCATCCAGGCTGCTGGGAGGAGGAACACCCAGGAAACAGAACATGGATGATTTTCAGTAAAGTTGACGGTCCTTATAATAGCAAAAAATGTTTTTTACAGCATAAAATTTGAGAACTGTTGTGGTTAGAATTATATAAGGAAGGTTTAGGAAATGTTTTCATCATCACCACCTCACCCACTTTTCAGCAGCTGCACTGAAGGTAGACTAATTCCATATCTATAAATTGAGTTTTTGTCTTATGGTCTCGTTTGTTCATAAGAGAACATATTTAATGTTTGGAAAAATTCCTTATTTTGTTCTATACTCTGAGTCCAACTCTGCATTGGCCAGCCCCGTAGTCAGCAGCAACGTGTGGCTGTCGAGCATTTGAAATGTGGCCAGTTGTAATTGGCAGTTATCAAAAGTGTGAAATACATGTTGGAATTTGAAAATAATGTAAAATATATCATTAATAGTTCAAATTGAATCCATGATGAAATAATATTTTAGATAATATTGGTATCCCTTTTCATTAGATAGATCCTAAACTTAGATGTTGTGGCTCTCACTTTGTAATTCTATGAACAGTGTGCTCTAGGTCTTCATGTATTATTGAGTAATGCCTCCATCTTTTGGCAGATAATGGAAATGCACTAAAAGAGCACTCACTTTCCAGATTGTATGAAAAATGTAATAGTTCCATCCACATGATATGTTATTTTTAAAGGCTGATTGCTTTTAAAGTCATAATAATGTGTCAAAGGACAAAAAGGTATTAGACATAAGGAATAAGAATTTCCCAAAGAAAAAATACTAGCAGCAGTTTTGAGAGAAACTTAAAGTAAGCACCCTAATTGCATAACAAAATACGGTCCTTTGGCTGTCCAATGGACATTTGAGTTGAAATATTGTACTTGTTTTTGACAGGCGGAGTTAGAGAGACAGAGACAGAGAGAAAGGTCTTCCTTCCGTTGGTTCACCCCCAAAATAGCTGCTACGGCTGGTGCTGTGCCAATCCGAAGCCAGGAGCCAGGTGCTTCTCCTGGTCTCCCATGCGGGTACAGGGCCCAAGCACTTGGTCCATTCTTCCACTGCACTTGCGGGACACAGCAGAGAGCTGGACTGGAAGAGGAGCAACCGGGACAGAATCCGGCGCCCCAACCGGGACTAGAACCCAGGGTGCCGGCACCGCAGGTGGAGGATTAGCCTAGTAAGCCGCGCGGCGCCAGCCTATAGTTGGTTTTAAGTTCTGTATCAAGGCAGTAATATCAGTGATTTTAAATTTTGGAAGGGTTTTTTTCAGTTATAAGCAAGAAGAAAATTAATTTGAATTGTTTTTGTTATCTGTTTGTAAGCAAATAGTTTAAATCCCTGTTGCAGGCCGGCACCACGGCTCACTGGGCTAATCCTCCGCCTTGCGGCGCCGGCACACCGGGTTCTAGTCCCGGTTGGGGTGCCGGATTCTGTCCTGGTTGCCCCTCTTCCAGGCCAGCTCTCTGCTTTGGCCAGGGAGTGCAGTGGAGGATGGCCCAGGTGCTTTGGCCCTGCACCCCATGGGGGACCAGGAAAAGCACCTGGCTCCTGGCTCCTGCCATCGGATCAGCGCGGTGCGCCGGTCGCAGCGCGCTGGCTGCGGTGGCCATTGGAGGGTGAACCAATGGCAAAGGAAGACCTTTCTCTCTGTCTCTCTCCCTGTCCACTCTGCCTGTCAAAAATAAAAAAATAAAAAATCCTGTTGCAGACCAACAAATTTGTAGAACTACTGAAATTATGTAGTTTTTAAAAATCTCATTCTTTTTAAACTTTTTTCATATTTCATATTTATGTATTTTTGCTGTGAAAGTAGGAAATTTACTATTGTGTGTAGAACTTTATTTTTTGATTTTTAAAATTATGTATTTATTTAAAAAGTAGAAGAAGAGACAGATTTTCCAGCTGCCAGTTCACTCTCCAAATGCCCACAACGGCCAGGGCTGGGCCAGGTGGAGTCAGGAGCTCCATCTGGGTCTCCTAAAGCAATGGCTAGAAATTTAGACCATTTATGATTTAAAAGGTGATTCTGGTTGGAGCTAGAGAACTTCTGAACTTTAAATTTTTTTTCTAAGGCCATTTTACTTACAGTTAGTTTGTTTAAACATTTCTAGTTTGAAAGTAGAATGCATCCTTATGGAATAGTAATTGAAAATAGAAACTAAAAAGTACTTAGGTTTTACCTCTTCAAGAGAAAGACATGAGACTTTTTTCCTGAGAAGCGACTGCTAATAATGTGCATCAAGAAAACCAAATTCTTATATGAAAGCTAATTTTATTTTTACATGTTTTAAATATTTTTTTCAAACTTTATTAAGTTGTCTTGCCTCCTCTTGTGTTATGCTCTTTTAAATGGTTTTCCCAATCATTGTGTGCTCTTAATTTTTTATTTGAATGATGTGTAGTCTCCGGAGCAGAGAAGAAGAGAGAATTTCTAAGCCTGGGGCTGTCTCGACTCCTGTAAAGCATGGAGATGACCACACACCTAAAACAGTGGAAGAAATTACTGTTGAGAGAAATGAGAAGCAAACACCTGCCCTTCCAGGTAAGCCTAAACAATACAAGTTCAAAGAACATTTGCAGTCAGGCTATACTAGTTCTCAGGATTCACAGAAAACTTTGAAGATGCTGTAATTCCTACTACCCAGGTATGCCTTTTCATGCACAGGTCTTCTAGCATTTTCATGCATGGAAAGTTGGCATGCATCAGAAGACAGCCATGAGTACTTTTTCTTAGTTTATACAAAGAAGCTAGTTAACAACCACTCATGATAGTAAGGTTGTTTTCCAGCACTGCCCATTAAAGACACGCATCAGATTGGCTCCAAAAGCTTGAAAACAAAAGTTATTTTACTTTTGAAAATGTTTCCATAAACATTCTGTAAAGTAACCGTGTAGCGCTGTTTTTGAGGACCCAAACATCTCTAGCATTGGTTGCCCAGTGGAGATTTTATATCTAATGTCTCAGTTCATTCTCTCAAATCTTCCTTGCTCTGCCTGGTTAGTGGCAGAAATACGAATATATTTACAAACAAAATTGACCACAGGGGACAGAGGTGGCTACTTTGACTTTCTCACCCCCTTCTTAACATCTGTTCTGTTCTTCCATAGAGAATGTAGATTTTTCAAACTTGAGCAGCTGGAGCCATGAAAGTGCCAATGACCATGCCACATTCTTAGTTGTTATGAAGACTTCAGCTGTTAACTGTAACATGTATTCTAATGCATGTGGTACCAGTGTTCCTTGTCGCGGTTCATGATCTTAGGTTTGCTGATGACTCATATATTTTATAGACTCTGTTGTATGGTCATTTCACTACTTGCTTAGATGATTATTCTTTGTTTTTATTGAGTCCTGCACAATTTAATTTTCTTCTTTTAGAACCAAAGCCTGTGTACGCTCAAGTAGGACAACCAGACGTGGATTTACCTGTCAGCCCATCTGATGGTGTCCTGCCTAACTCAGCGCACGAGGACGGGATGCTTCGGTAATGCAGTTGTATTCTGTTGCTGTCTTTTCTGTTACTAAACAGTATCTAGAATGAGTGTCCAGTTACAAACCATAGTGCAAAGATTTTTGAAAATAATGTAGACTGCTTAATGCTGTGATTAGATCATTTCCTTTTTGTTTGACAATCTCGTGCATGGTAGAGTCACTTAGTTAAGAACAACCAAAAAAATAAAAACTTTTTGAATGTCTTCTTTCCCACCACTGTCTTCTATCAAGTTTTTAGGTGAGGAATACAGAAATAAAAAAATTGCTTTCTATTTAGGCACCAGAATTTGTCAGTTTTTAATATTTTGGTTTTGAGCGAGGGGATTTTTTTTTTTTTTTCTGTAGCTCATATCAGAATAATAGAATCGTGTGCCTGGAGCGGGTGCTGCGACGCACAGCAGGTTAAGCTGCCACTTGGGGTGCCCATATCCAGTGCCTGGGTAGAGTCCAGCTACTCTGCACTAAGAATCCAGCTTCCTGCTAATGTGCTGGGGAAGCGGTAGATGGTGTCTGAAGTACTTGGGGTCTTGCTACCCATGTGGGGGATCTGGATGGAGTTCTTGGCTCCTGGCTTCAGCCTGGCCAGCCCCAGGCTGTTCTGGGTATTTAGGAAGTAGGTGGAGGTTCTCCGTCTCTGCCTTTCAAATGAAATCTAAAATATAAATGTTAGCCTGTATCAAACACCAGAGCTTCACATGCACAAAGCAAAAACTGAAGAGAGAAATAAGCTTACAATTATTTATAGCAGTAAATGATTACATTGACAATGCAGGGGTGGGAACAAGCATTGTCGTACAGCTGGTTAAGCCACCATTTGGGATGCCCCCACCCACACTGGATAGCCTGGGATGGAGTCCTCCTCTGCTTCCGTAGCTTCGTGCTAACATGCATCCCAGGAGGCAGCATATTGCCCACAGGGGAGTCCAGCGTGGAGCTCCTGGCTGCTGGCTTCAACCTGGCCCAGCCTGATTCTTAGAAGGCATTTGGGGAGTGAACCAGTGAATGGAAGATCATTCTCCTCCTCTCTTTTCCCTCCAGCCCCATCACTCTACCTCTCAAATAAATAAATATATAAAAACATGGTAGTGTATCTTCTGGACCAGGGATGTGGGGGTAGTTATGAAAGTCTAGAAGGAAGATGTAAAGGGTACTCTGTGATTATGATCTGTTTCTGCCTGTCCATTCCCCTAAGGCATCCTTCAGTGTTTGTTTTGTGTCATAAGAATTCCACACTGCTCTGATAATAGAGATATGTGTGCATTGACTCTTTGCCACTTTCTCACTAACAAGAAAGGAGCAGAAAGGCTGGCATTGTGATACAGCAGGTTAAGCTGACGCCTACAATGCCAGCATCCCATATTGGAGTGCAAATTCAAGTCCTGGCTACTCTTCCAATCCATGTACTACCAATGTGCCTGGGAAAGCAGCAGAAGATGGCCTAAGTACTTGTCCTCTGCCACCCATGTGGGAGACCTGGAACTCATGGCTTCCTGGCACAGACCTGGCTTTTGGGACCATTTGGAGAGTGTACCAGCGGATGGAATATTTCTTTATCTCTCTGTGGCTTTCCATCTGTGTCTCTCTGGTTCTACCTTTAAAAACAACAACAACAACAACAACAACAAAAACTAGGATTGGAAATATCAATAATGTGAAAAAGCTGAATGATTTTTAAGTTTTTATTTTTTTTTAATTGAAAGAAATAGCAGAGAAAGTGAACTATTTAAGACTCCAGCTGCAAAGTTTAAATCCTGCTGTCTGTTGGATATAGAAATCACAATGCATGAAGCCTGGTTTTAACTCTCTGATACTAGTTAAGTTAGCTAATTTTTGCTTTAATTACTACCACTTTAAAACAGGACTATTTAGTTATTAAGTAGAACTTTTGGGATAGAAAAAGTAATTTGTTAGCATCAGCAATGTACTGTATACCCAAGAATCTTTGAGGTCGGGGAAGACATTCTTTCATGAAGTAATTTGATGAATTTATTATGTAAAGCAGCACTTGACTATTAAATTGAGACATTCCAAAATAAAATTAACCAAAAAATAAAGTGCTGTTAAAATCTGATTTTTGAAAGGTAAACTTACTGAGACAGGCAGACAGACAGATCTTGTACCCACTGGTTTGCTCCCCAAATGGCCTGCAAAAGCCAGGGCTGGACCAGGCTAAAGCCAGGAGCCTGGAACTCCATCTGAGTCTCCCACACAGGTGGCAGAGACCCAAGTACGTGGGCCGTCATCTGCTGCTTTCCCAGGCATGTTAGCAGGGAGCTGGATAAAAACTGGAACAACTGGAACTCTGACTGGCGCTCATGAGATGGCTGTCGTTGCAGATGGCAGTGTAACCCTCTGTGCTAGAATACCAGCCCCTGGTTTTAGATTCTTACACTGAATTTTACTCAGTAGATCATTGGCGTGGGGGAAATTTTAGAGATGGTCCTTTGTTTCATTTGGAATATAGTTCTCAGTGTAGTAGTTTGTTGCAACCTTTCAAGCTTCTCTTAACTGTTCGAAATGAAATGTCTGTTTTTGACAGGCCCAGCATGAAATTGGTAAAATTCAGAAAAGGAGATAGCGTGGGTCTGCGGCTGGCTGGTGGAAATGATGTCGGAATATTTGTGGCTGGCGTTCTGGAAGATAGCCCTGCTGCTAAAGAAGGCTTAGAGGAGGGTGATCAGATTCTCAGGGTATGTAAGGAGGTCGGCTTGTGCGGGCATGGAAGTCCTTGAAACTCCAGAAAAGGGCATCACAGCAAACCTGCCGCTGTCGTGAGGTTGTGTGCTGTCTCTTGAACCGGTCAGACTCTGTATTGTGCTGGGTTTGCCACTGCCCATGGCTGAACTTGCTCTTGTTGCTGTTAGGTTGTGTGTTGCTGTACAGTGTAATATTTCAGTGTAGTCACTGGTGTTCATAGAACCAATGAGAAACTCTATACCAAGTGGTCTCTGAAAGTAAAACTAAACGTTCAGACTGCCAAGATTGCCATGGGCTATGGCTAGCCAGTAAGCATCATCAAATGTCCCTCTCCGTGGGAGAGTCTTAAGTGTTCCTCTCCATGGAAATAGATTTTGTAGCAATGCACACAAAAGACCTTCTTTACCCCGGGTGTGATTTGGTGACGAGGTAGCATTTGCATCAGGGAGATGTGTGAGTTGCCCTGAACAGTCAGGACATGATACAGTTAGATGCAGTCTGCCAGTAGTCTTGGGTCTCTTTCCTCTTACTTCCCACTTCCCCTTCCTCTTTCCCCTCTCCCCTCCTGCCCCTCTTTCTTTTCCTGCTTCCCTTTCTTTTCCTTGTGTCTGCCATAAGTATGTTGCCTAATAACACAGTATTATCTTCATCTGTCTCTTCTCTTTTTAAGATATTCAAACCTGACTTGATTTCCAGTAGATAAACTATGTCCCGTTTTCGTCAGAAGGTCAACTCTATTAGAGAGAGGGCGTTCCTGTATTTACTCTGCCCCTCACCTCCAAGTGTCTTTGTCACCCCTGCCGTATGTGTGTCTGCTTTGAGCTCGCTTCCCACCTGTGTCCTGAATTCTGTCTCCTGTCTGCTCAGACCTTGCAGATTCGTTCGTCTTTGTGTCTTTCTGTCTCCTCGCATTCTTCATCTATTTTCCCATTGTCTTATTCCTCCCCACTGCTTTTGACATTGACTGTGTGGTTGAGCCTCACCCCCACCTTCTTTTTAGTCATTAAGTTCATTCAGTTTTAGTCTCTGTCTTCCATCTTAACCAGTACTGAATCTGAATTTTCTTAAGCTGTCTTTGACCTACTGTCAACCGCAGCCCTCATTTTCCTTTATTTCTTAGTATGTTTTCACTGTGTTAAATAACCCTTCTTGAAGTGCCTTCCTCCTTGGAGTTCATAACACTCCATGCTGATACTGCTCTAATCTTTTCTTTTCCCGACTTTACTAATTTTCTGAAACGTGGGGAATTTCGGTAGCTTCCTGTTTCTCTCTTGATGCGGTCTGCATCTCAGGTTTGATATTCAAGTAAGCAGCCTGTTGTCAGCATCTTTCACTCAGGATAGCTTCCCGAGTCCTCTCAAACCAGCCACCTGTGCATGTCAGCAGTTCAGGGCCTCGCCTCTGACCTGCTGGGCCCGTCAGTGTGCTGTGATGCTTCCTGAGGACATGTCCAAAATGTCTGAGCACAATGTATGTCATGTGGGGTACTATATCAGAATTAAACAGTCCTATTTTCTTATCTACTTCATACTTGTTTTGAGGTAATCAGGGAGTACCTCATTTTTTAAAAATGTTTACTCGAGTAGGCATTTGACAAAGAGGTTAAGACACTGCTTGGAATATGACATCCCATTTTGGGGTACCGAGGTTCAAGTCCCAGCTCCTCTGCTTCTAGTCCAGCTTCTTGCTAATGCACACCCTGGTAAGCAACAGGTAATGGCGCAAGTTAGGAGGGTCCTTGCCACCCTAGTAGGAGACTCAGATTGAGTTCTAGGTTCCTGGCTTCAGCCTGACCCAACTCTTGACAGTTATGGTTATTTGGAAAGTGAACCAGTGATGGGAGAGCTCTCTCTTTTTTCCTCTCCCCCTACTGCCTTTCTCATAAAATCAATTTTTAAATGTTTGTTAAAATTCATGTTTGTTTCCTAAAAGCAAGTAGTATTTGTTTTAATGTGAAAATTTTCCAAAAGGTGGAAAAGGAAATCCACCTGTAATCCTGCACACAGTCACTGGTGACATTTTGATAAGCTTCGTTTTGGCACTTAGGAACTACTGATTGAAGTGAGCACTCACAGGCAGACATGGCTACATCGAGACACACAGGTGCTGGCACAGGGACTCCACAGTGCATACTGTCTGTTTTTTAATCTCATTTTTTTTTAGCAACTAGTAAAAAGTAGAACTGTATTGCACATTCATAGTTTATAGTTTAAAAGTTTAAAGCTAGAAACTTTCAGTAACATTTGTCTTTGGGTCTGAATTGATTGGATTTTGCAGTGGGTGATTGCTAATGTCTGGATGCATTGGGGCTTCTCTTAGATGAATTCACACTACCAGTTCTACTTTAAATTAGAATATATTTTTCCTCAAAGGAAAATAACCAAGAATAATGTATGAAATCTTATTTTAATAGGTAAACAATGTGGATTTCACCAATATCATTAGAGAAGAAGCTGTCCTTTTCCTGCTTGACCTCCCTAAAGGAGAAGAAGTGACCATCCTGGCCCAGAAGAAGAAGGATGGTGAGAAACCATCAGAAAGTACAAAAAATTAACCTTTGGGCCTTTGAAGACTTACGGAGGGACTTTCTCAGTTTTCTGAAATGACTCACTCAAAGTTGAGTGATGGATAAATTTGTTACTCTCTTGAGTAAATTTTAAGTCATTTGGGACACAAAATCTTAACACTGCTCATTACCATAGCACATTAATAGTTCCAAATTCATGTATTCCTGTTCAAGTAAAATGCCATCTCACCCTTTCCAAAATTTAAAAACAAATTGATTAACTCAGAACCATACAGAAGTATATATGGACAGCTTCTGTATTTTTTACTGATGTTATCTAAGCAATACACTCAGGTGTTTGTTTGCATTAATTCAGGAGAATGTCTAATTTTTCCTGTGATAAAATGTATACACTCCACTTAGTTGGCACTGTTGACATTTTGAACCAAAAAATTCTGTGTTCTAAGGGCTGCCCTGTGCATTGCAGGGTGTTGGGTAGCATTCCTCACCTCTGCTTAGTAGATGAGGTGCTGTTACACATGCACACACGTCCTTGTCTGAAGATAGTGACAAATGCCGTAGGGAGAAAGCAGCAGTGAGGACAGAATGGCCCTCCTTTGAGAACGGATTTAGTATCTGTCAGATGTTTGTTGCTACATTAGATGATACAAATAGAGAGCAGCGTGTGACTTTGGTCAAGCTGCCTGGCTGTTTCTGCATCGCTTTCCTCGGCTGCCGAGCGGGGGAACTGAGGAGTCGAGTCCCGTCTCGGGCGGTGATGGTGAACGCAGGAGATGCGGTGTTGAATGCAGTGCTGCCAGTAGTCAAAATGCAGCCTTTGTTGTCGTTCTTATCAGTAGTGATTCACGTAATGGATTCTTTCCAGACTAATTTCTTATCCCACTGAGTATTGATAATGTGTTTGTTTTAATTCCTTTTAGTTTATCGTCGCATTGTAGAATCAGATGTTGGAGATTCTTTCTATATTAGAACCCATTTTGAATACGAAAAGGAATCTCCCTATGGACTTAGTTTTAACAAGGGAGAGGTATTTCGTGTTGTGGATACCTTGTACAATGGAAAACTGGGCTCTTGGCTTGCTATTCGAATTGGCAAAAATCATAAGGAGGTGGAACGAGGCATCATCCCTAATAAGAACAGGTATGAATGTTGATACTTTTTCTTCTTTTTTTTTTTTTTTTTTAAGTTTTTGCTTATTTGAAAGGCAGAGTCAGCAGAGGGAGGAGAGAAAGAGAAAGCGAGATATAGTCTGTCTGCTGATTCACTCCCCAAATGTCTGCAATGGCTAGGGCTGGGCCAATGCGAAGCCAGGAGCCCAAGGCTGCTTCTGGGTCTCCCATGTGGAGAAGTTGGGCCGTTCTCCACTGCTTTCCCAGGCATATTGGCAGGGAGCTAGATCAGAAGTGGAGCAGGCCGGCGCCGCAGCTCACTAGGCTAATCCTCCGCCTTGGCGGCGCCAGCACACCGGGTTCTAGTCCCGGTCGGGGCGCCGGATTCTGTCCCGGTTGCCCCTCTTCCAGGCCAGCTCTCTGCTGTGGCCAGGGAGTGCAGTGGAGGATGGCCCTAGTGCTTGGGCCCTGCACCCCATGGGAGACCAGGATAAGTACCCAGCTCCTGCCATCAGATCAGCGCGGTGTGCCGGCCGTGGCGGCCATTGGAGGGTGAACCAATGGTAAAGGAAGACCTTTCTCTCTGTCTCTCTCTCTCTCACTGTCCACTCTGCCTGTCAAAAAAAAAAAAGAAGTGGAGCAGCTGGGAATGGAACCAGCATCCATATGGGATGCTGGCACTGCAGGCAGGGCCTAATCCACTAAGCCACAACGCCAGCCCTGGGATACTTTTTATAGAATGATACTAAGTGATGTCATAAATTTATGTAAAGAATTATTTGTTCATCATATTCACCCAGTTCATAATTGAGTTAGTTTTATAAGCTCTTTATTTTATTGTAACCATTAAGATATAAACCACATAGGGGCCGGCACTGTGGTGCAGCAGGTTAAAGCCCTAGCCTGCCATGCCGGCATCTCATATGGGCGCCATTTCAAGTCCTGGCTGCTCCTCTTCTGATCCAGCTGTCTGCTATGGCTTGAGAAAGCAGTGGAAGATGGCCCAGGTTCTTGGGTCCCTTGCCCTTGTGAGAGACCTGGAAGAGGCTCCTGGCTTTGGATCAGCTCAGTTCTGGCTGCTGCAGTCATTTGGGGAGTCAACCAATGGAATGGAAGACTTCTCTCTCTCTCTGTCTGCCTCTGCCTCTGCCTCTCTCTCTCTCTGTCATTCAAATAAATAAAATAAATCTTAGAAAAAAGTTATAAACTGCATGTGAACTTGTCTGGTATTGTGACATTTCATTTCATTGAGAGTCCTTGTCCATTTTGTTTTTTCTAATACCTTGATTTTTGACAGAGCTGAACAGCTGGCCAGTGTGCAGTATACACTTCCCAAAACTGCGGGGGGCGATCGTGCGGACTTCTGGAGGTTCCGGGGTCTCCGCAGCTCCAAGAGGAATCTTCGGAAAAGCAGAGAGGATTTGTCAGCCCAGCCAGTTCAGACGAAATTTCCAGCTTATGAAAGGGTTGTTCTTCGAGAAGGTAATGTGTTTCTGTAGTCTAACTTAATACCTCTTAATGTCAGTATGTTCAAGAAAGAAGAAGTAAAAACAATAATATTTTTCATGTGAATTTCCCCAGCTGGATTCCTGAGGCCTGTAACCATCTTTGGACCCATAGCCGATGTTGCCAGAGAAAAGCTGGCCAGAGAAGAGCCAGATATTTATCAGATTGCAAGTAAGCAGCTTCAGCACTGACGAGGGCGTGGTGAGGCTTCCTCAGCAGCCCTTCCGGCAGCAGAGCCCGATCCATCACGTGATGCAAACCCAGCTGATCGCACGTGCAAACTAGGTTTTATGAAAGGAATCCAGGTAGCTTAGTATCTGTCTTCTTTGAGTCCGATGACAGCCTTTTGAGTTAAGGAATTAGTGGCTTTTTCTCCAAACCAAACTCCACGTGGATCTTTCTCCTTAATTCTCCTTGTCCACCAAATTTGACGTTGAGCCTTAGTTGCCTGGGAAGCCCTGTCTCGGGTCTCATCCTCTACAGTGATTCGCCCGTCCTTCCTGATCTGGGTTTGACGTGACTCCTGAGAGCCCTTCCTTTCTCTTCAGGCTTTCCTGTTACCACAGTTACAGCGTCTTCTCAGTGAGGAATTTCCTGGAAATCAGGCCCTGAAGTTGTAGTTGGAAGCCCACCCCGGCCTGCGGTGGCATATTGCAAGTGTTGACCAGTCGAGAAGGACATGTTGCCAGGATAGGTTGTAGGCATTCTCGACAGCCTTCCCTACTCCTGGGTTCCCCTTCTGCTTATGGATATGAGATCTCCAGCCCAGAGCCCACTGGGCAGTCTGTGTGCAGCACTGTTGCTTGTGGTCTGTGACAGGTCTTGCACCTGCTCAGGTCACCTCCGTGTGCTGTGCAAGCAGCCACAGTTGGTTGCAGTGCTCTGCCGAGACATCATTGGGAGTCTTGGGCAAAAGAAAAATTTGTGCATCCCTTTATTCGTATTTATGAAAGCTTTTTAAAGCTTGTTTATTTGAAAGGCAGTTACAAGAGAGAGAAAGATCTTCCATCTGCTGGCCACAATGACTGAGGCTGAGCCAAGCCAAAGATAGGAGCCTGGAATCCCATCTGGGTCTCCCATGTGAGTGGCAGGGCTCAAACTCTCGAGCCATCCTCCATGGCTTTCCCAGGCACACTAGCAAGGAGCTGGGTCAGAAGTGGAGCAGCTAGGACTCAAACCGGCTCCCATATGGAATGCCAGCATCCCAAGTGGTGGCCCAACCCACTGTGCCACAACACCAACCCCATGGATTTTAAATAGCTAGTTTTTTTCCAGAACATTCAAGTCATTCACACACACACACACACACACACACTTATTATTTTTAGTAAAGATTTATTTTATTTATTTGAAAGGCTGAGTTACAGAGAGAAAGAAGGAGTGACAGAGATCTTCCATCCACTGATTCACCCCTCAAATGGCAGCAGTGGCTGCGACTTGGCCAGGCCAAAGCCAGGAGCCAGGAGCTTCTTCTGGATCTCCCACATGGGTGGTAGGGGCCCAAGGACCTTGGCCATCTTCTGCTTTCCCAGAAGCATTAGCTGGGAGCTGGATTGGAAGTGGAGCTGCTGGGACTTGAACCAGTGTCCACAGGGGAATGCTGGCACTGTAGGCGGTGGCTTGACCTGCTATGTTGTAGTGCTGTTCCTGGGAAAATATTTTGTTTAATGAGAGCAGTATGATATGGAGAGCCATATTTTTTAAGTATTTCTGCCAAACACTGGATTTATTATAATTTCAGTTTCTTGACTTTAATTGAAGCAAGTCTATCAATACTATTTTTACACATTTCTTTCCTCTTTTAAAAAAAACTTCTTTATCTCATTTTCACTCGGGATAATTGCTATATTTGACAGTTTCCCTTGACCAAGTTACAGTCAAATAATTTTTACTCAGGTCCCACTTTCTGATTGATTTTTTTTTAAGATTTCATGTTTATTGTGGGTTTTTTGTATTAATTTTGATATTTTGAAAATACTGTATCAAAATATTTGATGACTGAGGTTTTGTAAGACAACTGTTTGATTTTATACTCCAAGCAAGTACCTCTCCTGCTTTTCCCAGTCGTGGCCCTGTTAAGCACTGATCTGCCCCACTGATTCGGAGGAGGGAAAAGGGGAGTCCATGTGCTCGGCGGAGGATGTTTGCACGTTTGGAGACTTCGTGGCTGTCACAATGAACAAGGGATGGAGGGGGGAGGGGCTTGGGCTGCTCCTGCCCTTTACTGCACAGGGTCTAGAGTGACGCTCGCCAAGCAGGCCACAGTGTGCAGGATAGCCACCCCAGCAGTGCCCCAGCAGTAGTTGGGAAGCTCTTATCTAACCAGTGGAAATTTGGTGTTTTGTTTTTGTCCTGACTTTTCACAAACAGAAAGTGAACCGCGAGATGCTGGAACTGACCAACGTAGCTCTGGCATTATTCGACTTCATACAATAAAGCAAATAATAGATCAAGTAAGTTATTAAAAGTTGGCCTTTTTCACTATAAATAATTGTATTTTTTGAGTGAGATGAGATTTGGTTCATTTGAAAGTAGAAAATAGTTTTCCTAAGATTATTACTGATAAAAGAAAAGTAAGCACTTGGTGAAGAGCATACTAATAAGCATTTTCAAGGGAATAGTTATTACAGGCATCAAAACATGATCTTTCATTGTCACATAAAAGTATATGATGTTCAGATATAATCAGCAGACTGTTGATACTACAATGTACAATTCAAGCTCACTTGATAATAATATGCATGCATACAGAATGTCAGGAACGTTAAATTGTATTACTTACCCTCACTGTAACTGAAAACAGGTAATGCTGTCGGCTTGCAAGTACTGGGGCAAAGTCTGGAAAGTGAGCCAGTTAAAACTTTTCTCAATTGGGCTACAAATTGCATTGAAATAACTTGGTTGCAGATTTTTGAACGTGCATCTGAGACAAACTAGAGCACAGAGATGCATCACCGTGGAAATGTAGCATAGGCCGTGACGCTCCCGAAGATGGTGATCCTTCACTAACAGTGTCTTGTATCTTTGTACATGTCTTTTTTTCTGTTTCCAGGACAAGCATGCCTTATTGGACGTAACACCAAATGCAGTAGATCGTCTTAATTATGCCCAGTGGTATCCAATTGTTGTTTTCCTTAACCCTGATTCTAAGCAAGGTGTGAAAACAATGAGAATGAGGTTATGTCCAGAATCTCGGAAAAGTGCCAGGAAGTTATATGAGCGCTCTCACAAACTCCGTAAAAACAATCACCATCTTTTCACAAGTGAGTATGTTAAAGCCTTCTTTCAGCTTAAGATGTCGGCAGCAGTGTGTGGGCCGGAATGTTGTGACTGGCCAGCACAGCATGCGCGTGACCTGTGACCTTTGGAAAGTGGCCTGTTCTAGCAGCCACTGCTACTTGGTTGAAAGGAAATGGAAGTTTCAAATGTTTGTTCCCTCAAACACCATGTTTTCAGTAATGATGACTGAGCGCTATAAGGGTTGAATGCGTTCTCCTGACTTCTGGCAGTGTTCTAAGCTTGAAACTAAATTGTTCCCTTACTTTCAGCTACAATTAACTTAAATTCAATGAACGATGGCTGGTATGGTGCGTTGAAGGAAGCAATCCAGCAACAGCAGAACCAGCTGGTATGGGTTTCTGAGGGAAAGGTAAGACGCTTCCTTCTACTTTTTGTCTCTTTCAGTAAGTTGTATAGCTAATCTGGGACACCTGGGAGTTAGCATTGTTTTCTTCATGGACCAACATTTATGTTGGAAAATTTTAGGTTTTTATATGAAAGACTTTTAGAATTTGCTTTTGATAGTAAGAGATTCTTATATGTCCTTACCTATTGAATTGCCACTCCATGGGATTTTTCTCTAAAAGAATTCTCAGGTTATAGTGAAAAATAGGTTGAGTACTGACTCCCATCTGCCTGAGGAACGATGACTTTGAACCTGGCTCCATTTCTCCCTCGGAAGATGAGGGCATTTGAACGGCCTGGTGCTCAGCGCTCAGTGGTTCCAGACTTGGGGAAGGCGAGCAGTGCTGGGCACTCCCAGCCGGCCCCTCTGCGAGCCTTACAGTAGCCACTCGCGTACAGAGGCTCTGAGGAGTCTTGGGAGTAAAGACGTCTGCTTTGTTTCAGCGCATTTTTACCTAGAGATTTTTTCCCCTCTCAGCACCTGTTAACATTCCTACAACATGCTGAGAACATTGAACCAAGCAGTATGCCCTTTCCAGTTCAGAACTTTGATTTGTATATACAGCCAAATGGCCAGCTGGAAACTGACGACTCTCTGCGCTCAGCTTTGATGGTTTTACAGTAATCTTGGATTGGAGATCATTGTCTCGGAGTATGCTGTTGAAAGAAGCTCTTCTTTTGTTTATGATGTCTCTTACCGTTTTCAGATCAGTACAACATGAATAAGTTTTGGCTGTTAGGAAAGTTCAAGAATATCTCTGGCTTTTTATTTTGTTTTTGTATTTCCTTGTTGGCTTGGTTATGCTGTGTTTTGCCCCTGCATGGCCCCACTCCCTCCGCCTGGCTGTGGTCACAGATGCTCTGGCAGTGCATGCTGCATGTGTAGGACCACCGTCCCCCACCCAGAAACGCACAGCGTCTGCAAGAAGAGCTGGTAGGCCTGTACATCCAGAAGTAGTGCCTGCCGTCCTCACTGAAAGCAATACGTCAGAGCCTCAGTGTTTCTCATCATGTCCAAGTGTGGGGGGTAGACCATGCATACGGGGTCCTGAGACCACTCTCAGTAACTTATATGCTAGCTGGGGCAGTTACAGAAAGATCAAGGTGGAAAAAACCCGCGACACCTCTTTACAGCAGCACACTAGTTCACCGATTCCTCTTTGGAAGCATTTGGTGCAGAGGATTGTAGTCCTCTTCATACTGATCCTTTGCCACTGCACAGGGCTGTTAGCATCCTTTGGTGAGTAGAAGGCTCAGCTTGCACTAGTGGATTGTTAAAAGAAGAAGTCTACAGATACCTTCCCCATTGCACAAGTGCACTTCTGTCTGAGAATTGTGTTATTTTTAATCCACAAGTCCTAACTTTCTCTGTAGTTTCTTTGTGGTATGATATGTTTTCTTTATTCGCTTGTTTATAAAATAAAACTCCCCCAGATTTTTAATGTGAGAAAAATAGACATTTACTATTAGATGTTTTATGTAAGCCAGAAAAAGTTATTACAACTCGGGCTTCATTTCCCTGCCCCCTTCCTTTGAAATACGTTTTACCGGGCTAGATACGAAAGGGAAGCCACTCCCTTCACATCATACGAAAGGGAAGCCACTCCCTTCACATCGCTTTCCTGACCTCACTTTGACCTAGCTGCTAGGAAGAGTTTCTTTTTTGCAAGATCCAACACAGTCTTCTATGTTCCCTGTTAAACTACAAAAGTCATCTTGAGGCTTTCTTAACATGCAGACATACAATTTCTTGATTTTCAGAGCAACTCTGGGTTCTTGCTCACGTCTGTGTTTTACACAAGGTGTGCTGGTGATGTCCACGTGCTTCTTCCCTGGGCCTCCTTTGTTTCCTGGCTAGTGCTGGCTTTCAGCCTTCTAATACTCTGACAAGTCAAAGGCTGCAGCAGATAGCAAGAAGGCTGCTCTCCTGCAGGAGTCTTTACAGAATGTAGAAGCCAGTGAGACTTCAAGCAGAGAGATTCGCTCCAACAGGGTGGACACTGGAATTCTCATGTGCGCCAGCGTGGCAGGTGCTCTGTTGAACGTGGAGCACAGGGAGGCTGACGGGGTCCAGTCTTTCTTATCAGGAGGGCAGTGCTCAGCTCAGGCTCTGAAGAGCCAAGCATGAAGCTGCATGCAAAGCTCCATTCAGGCAGCTTAACTCCAAGACCATGTTCCTGCGTGGCAGGCATGCCAGGTACACCACGCCTTCCAGTTAAAGCTAGTGCGTCTTCCAGGTGAACAAGAGCCTTAAGGCAGCCCTCCAGTCTGTGCTGAAATGGAAAAAGTACTTTCTGATTTCTCAGCTCCTGTGACTAACCGGGGACAGTATCTTAGCAAGGTCTTCAGGAACTGCTGTTGAATTTCATACCAGTTTCAGATTAGTCTCAAATCAGTTTTCAGCCTGTTGATTGCAACGGTATGGTTTCCGTTTCTGCAAATACTTCTGACTTTCTGATCTGCTCAGAAGATAATCCATATAGACTGTTAGAAACTGAGCTCTTAATTGCTTGCAGAAGAGGATTACTGCGTTTCTGTCTCTCCATCCATCAGGTACTGCTTCTGTGAAAAGTAATACAATTTTTCTTAAGGCAGCCACCACCTAGAAGATGATTTTTCTGTTGTGTTTCATAAAAGCATTTAGGGTCAGATATCAACTTGTATAAAGTTGTTTTCTAAATAAAATGTAGAAGCCCTTATTCAGCTTGAGCTGTGGGGTTTATTTTCCTAGTTATTCTCATGTGCGCTGTTCTGTCAATGTGTCCTTGTTTGTGCGAGCTTCATTGGGCAGCATTCTCCTTCTTCACCTTGCTTAGCGCTGACAGGCTAGTTAGCGACTGGATGTAAAAGCCTGAGCAGAGCCGTGCTTCCTTCCTCTGAGGCTGGGTCTCAGACCAGTTTTGTGGCCAGGCAGCCAGTGTTCCGTTCATCCGAGTCCTTCAGCTCTGGGGGATGCTCTGTGTGTCTGCATGTGTGCTTGTTCAATCTTCTTGACCTTTGCTCACCAGAAGTTTCAAGAAATAGATGTGATTTCTCCAAAGAAAAATGTCCTTTTCAGTCTCCTTTGTAAAGTAAAGGCCATCTCTTAAAGAACTACTGAATAAAATTTTTAATTTACTTTTATTTGACCCAGGCGGATGGTGCTACAAGTGATGACCTTGATTTGCATGATGATCGTCTGTCCTACCTGTCAGCCCCAGGTAGTGAATACTCAATGTATAGCACGGACAGTAGACACACTTCTGACTATGAAGACACAGATACAGAAGGCGGGGCCTACACTGATCAAGAACTAGATGAAACTCTTAATGATGAGGTTGGGACTCCACCGGAGTCTGCCATTACACGGTCCTCTGAGCCTGTAAGAGAGGACTCCTCTGGGATGCATCATGAAAACCAAACATATCCTCCCTACTCACCACAAGCGCAGCCACAGCCAGTTCCTAGAATAGACTCCCCGGGATTTAAGACAGCCTCTCAACAGGTAAGCAGCAGCGTTCAACGTTTTGTAGTTAGAAGTAAATTATTAAATTTTAGGATGCGGTGATTGAATTAAAGAATCTATTTTGTCCTATCTCCAGATTGAGAGTTACCTTTAATTTCAGTTTGAAAGTTCCTAGGGCTTAATTCTGAATTTTGTGTGTTCGTCTTACACAGCAGCATACTGGATTTTTGGGGGAAAAAAATTCAGGACATGAGAGCATAGTTTTGTTGTTCACACTTAAAATGTATGTCTGCCAGTCAATATAAACTGAAGTGAGAAGATAGCAGTAAACAGAAACACCATATTTAAAATATTTTAAACACTTCACAGAAAGCAGAAGCCTCATCTCCAGTCCCTTACCTTTCGCCTGAAACAAACCCAGCATCATCAACCTCTGCTGTTAATCATAATGTAAATTTAACTAATGTCAGACTGGAGGAGCCCACCCCAGCTCCTCCCACCTCTCACTCACCACAAGCTGATTCTTTAAGAACACCCAGCACTGAGGCAGCTCACATAATGCTAAGAGATCAAGACCCATCATTGTCGCCGCATGTAGATCCAGCAAAGGTACCCGTGCTGCCGTGTTGCACTGACTTGCTGCTCTCCATCAGTCTAGCACATAATCATTTTTGCTTTGCCCTTTAAGTTTTCCCTTTGCTTTTTTTTACTGTGGGCTTATGTACCATAATGCTTTCAGATCAGTACAAATCATTTCATTTTTGTATCTTGCATGGCTTCCAGTGGTATACTGATTATTTAAGAACAGGCCTTATAATCAAGATTTATGTTTAATATTTTATTTTTATTTTTGCTTTTCAGAATCTTCCAGAATTCTTTAATATGTACTTGAGACCCATCATAATTGTTTTTATGTTTATATAAATTTTGGTGTCCATAATTTTCTTTAGATTTTTGCTTTCAGTGTCAAAATCAAGTGGAATTGTTAGCACATTGATTTTCTACTAAATTTAACAATTATCTTTAACTCACTTTTCATGTAGCACATGCTAAAACATAAAAACCCTACCTGCATTATAGATTTCCAGCTTTTCCTTAAACTAGCTTTCTCCACTAATCTTGTCTATCCTGGTAATAAATGGTAGAGCATACCATTTTCACACATTAAATCACAGTATAATCCTTGTAAATCATTGTCTGATATAATGGACTGGAAATACAAACAAACTTGTGTCCTCAAGTGTGAATTTTTGATGCAGGTCTATAGAAAGGATCCGTATCCTGAGGAAGTGATGAGACAGAATCCAGCTTTGAAACAGCCAGCTGTTGGTCACCCAGGGCAGAGGCCTGAGAAAGAGCCCAGTCTGACCTATGAGCCCCAGCTTCCCTACATGGAGAAACAAGCCAGCAGAGACCTCGAGCAGCCCACATACAGATACGAGTCCTCCGGCTACACAGACCCGTTTTCTCGAAACTATGACCATCGCCTGCGATACGAGGACCGCATGCCTGCATATGAAGAACAGTGGTCGTACTACGATGACAAACAGCCCTACCAGCCTCGGCCGCCTTTCGATAGTCAGCACCCTCGAGACCTTGACCCTAGACAGCACCCTGACGAGCCCTCAGAACGAGGCTATTTCCCACGTTTTGAAGAGCCAGCCCCCCTGTCTTATGACAGTCGGCCACGCTACGAACAGCCGCCCAGAACCTCCACCCTGCGGCATGAAGAGCAGCCAGCTCCGGGCTATGATGTGCACAACAGACAGAGACCAGAAGCGCAGCCCTATCCTGCAGCAGCCCCTAAGTCGGCGGAGCCCAAGCAGTACTTTGACCAGTACGGGCGAAGCTACGAGCAAATCCCGCCTCAAGGGTTTGCCTCCAGAACAGGCCACTACGAACCTCTCCACAGCGCCGCAGTCGTCCCTCCGCTCATACCTTCCTCTCAGCATAAGCCAGAAGTCCTGCCTTCCAGCACCAAGCCACTGCCCCCACCTCCAGCCCTAACCGAGGAGGACGAGGACCCAGCGATGAAACCACAGTCTGTGCTCACCCGAGTGAAAATGTTTGAAAACAAAAGGTCTGCATCCCTGGAGAACAAGAAGGAGGTGAATGACACGGCCAGTTTTAAGGTACATATGTCCCTCTGTCTTCCCACGCTGGGTCCACAGGCACCCCGAGTGGAAAACAGTTCTGCCTAGCTCTCCCCTCCCTGTCGCGTGGAGTCTCTGTGCAATTATCTGTTCTTCGGGCATGTTTATCTTCTTTTCCTGCAGCCTCCAGAAGCATCCAAACTTCCAGGTGCTCCCGTCACTGGGCCTAAATCCACCCCTCAGAGCCAGTTCAGTGAACATGACAAAACTTTGTACAGGTGAGCATTTGACCTTCTTCGTCAATGAGAAAACCTTTCACTGTTAGAGGAGAGCTGTGAAGAAGGAGAGAGGACCTCCTTGTTCTTAAGTGACATCAGCCAGCTCTCTGAGCTGAGACAGTGATCCTGGAGAAAGCTGAGAGCTTCCTCATCCCTTCTGGGACAAATCTGTGTTTTACTTTTAGGAGACAGAAAATCTTTGAATCTCTTCAAAATAAGTTTTTCTAGAAAATGATGAAAAATTTCAAAGCCCTAACATTTGTACTCTTTTTCAGTTTTAAAAGTGCTGTCAGACATGTGAACTCCTAGTCTGTAGGGGTAAGGAAACAGGATGAGACTGGTTAAGATAACTAAAATTAACCCTCTAGTGAGCATGCCTAGTGTGCTCGCCCTTGGGCTGAGCACACCAGCACACGTGGGAACCCTGCTGGTTTCTGCCCTTTGGTTTTGAGAGACAGGTGCTGAGGCTGCGAGGGATTAAGTAGCTTATAGGACCAGTTAGGGCTGAGAGGGAAACGTGGCTAGCTGCTCTCAGCCTGTGCTCTGAACCCTGGCCCTGCTCATGCTAACAGTTGATGGGCTGAACTTGAATGCAGTTCCTCTAGCTAACTAATGTGTTTTATTTTCTGAATATGTGTCTGCTTAGAGTAACAAGGAGCTACTGTCTAACGTAGCGGTTTGCTTCATGACTCACTTTCTTCCCCACGTGCTTTCCGTGCCCTCCAGAATGTTGGGTGGTAAAGCCATTTGCTCATGAGACTCATTTATTGATCCTGAATTAAAGGTCTTAAAAATCTCTCAACATCTGTCGCTTGTTGTCAGCATTGGTCTGTGTATCTTAGAAAACCTTTTTCTCTTGGTTACATTTCCCTTCCTCACTAACTGCTTCAGAAATGCTGTGAGCTGTTACGAGACTCACAGCCAGGAGGAAGCTGTGAGGATGTGGGCTCTGTGTCTCCAGTGGACTGTTTGCTGAGTGCTGTTGCTGACATGAAGATAAGATCAGTGTAGTCCATTCTGCTTCTAAAAGTAACATCTAAAAAGTTGTCTCCCTGTCTTTCATTATCTGTCAGGATCCCAGAGCCTCAAAAACCGCAAATGAAGCCTCCTGAAGATATTGTCCGGTCAAATCATTACGATCCGGAAGAAGATGAAGAGTATTACCGAAAGCAGCTCTCGTACTTTGACCGGAGAAGTTTCGAGAACAAGCCTGCGGCACACATTCCTGCCAGCCATCTCTCAGAGCCTGCCAAGCCGGCTCATTCTCAGAACCAACCAAATTTTTCTAGTTATTCTTCAAAGTAAGTTCCTTCACCAAAATCGTAAAAATATTTTCAGTAATATTCTTCAAAATAAGATTAGGGTGAAGTATGAGGATTCTGCTGCATGAAATGGAGTTAATCACTTGCAGTTCAGGACATTTTGAAGGAAAGTAATTGAGTGTACACGTGATTTCTGAAGGCTGCAGTGTCTGTGCACTGTCCACACTTCGTGGTTGTGGGTGTATGCTGATGTTTTGTTCTTCCCGAGTTCCTGCGCTAGAGAAGATGCTGGAGTCCAGGGCCCTTGGAAGGGAGCTCCTTGGAGATGGTGGCCTCGGGGGCCCCGAGTCGCTCCTCATCTGCACATACACGCCCTGATGCTTCTCTGCCTTCTTTTCGATTCGTTCAGTATAAAAATAGAGATGTTAGGGGACACTGGAGGGAAATACTGAAGGATTTTTTTCCCTCAAGGCGGGAAAGAACTTGTCTGTTTTTATTATTGGAGCTCGAGGGCACTTTCGAAATTTGTCAGTGAGGAAGTCAGAATTGGAGGAGGTAAGATGGCAAAGCAGCGTTGAGACTGAACTCTAAGTGTATGCTGCTTCCTTTCGTTGGGGATTTTGTTGGTGCTATTCCTTCGTGTGCCTTGTGTCTCCATCTGGTGTGCTGCCCTGGGTGAACGCTGACTGGTAGAGAATTTGGAGAGTTGGTATAAAACCACATGGGCACAAGTGGATTCATACTTCAACCAGACAAAACCCACAAGAACAAAAACAGTGTGGATTTGTAAAAAGGACTTTGTTTACACAGTCCCAGAAGCCAGCTGAGTCCTTAGCCAGAAGACCCGTGGCCAGGCAGGGAAGACCCGGAGCTGCTGGGGAGAGAGTCTCCGAGCTCAGGGCAGGCCCATTGTACCCTCTCCCTTCCGATCAGCGTGTGAGCTGATCAGAGGTGGTGCATCTGAGCAGCCCCTCACAGCAGCACGGGGATGCTGGGCTCCCACCCAGCAGGTGGACACATCTGAGCTGTCACATGTCAGTTTTGTGGCCAAGATTAAAAGCGTTCAGGTTTTTACTTAGTTGCTTTGGATTGTCTGAAGCCAACTATCATTTGTCATTTACTAATGAGTGAACATTCTTTTAAGATGCACTACAAAACATTTAACATTAAAAATTTTTTTTTTAATTTACCACCGTTTTTTCTAAGACGTCATTTGAAGTGAAGACTTTTGGGTATTTTTCCATTGTCATCAGTTTAAATATTAATGGCTACAGAAGAAAGCAGTTTATGAGAAACAAAAATACATTCTTTGAATGCTGCCGTGGGAATTGTGTTAAATGCAAATAGTGTCTTACATTAGTGTCGGGAGCCTGAACTTCCCTGCATGGCTCCGGGGGTAGCCAGGAGCATTCAGGCTAGTGAGGCACTGAGGCTTAGAGCTCTCCTTCGCTCTGCTAAGGGAAAAGGCCATAGCCTATAGAAATCGTTTTCAGCCATTAAACAGATTTGTAAGTCAGCCTAGGGGTGTAGTATAAAGAGAAGTTTATTCTTTCACAACCTAATAAATGGGATGAAACCTTAAAAGCATACATTTAGGTCTAAAAAGTAAATAAAAGGTATTCAGAATTGTATGTGTAATTGTATGTTGGCAATTTTTTAAGTATTTATATAGGTATTGGATGGTTCAAGAATCTGGAAGGAGGGGCGGGCACGTGGCACAGCAGTTAAGCTCTGATGGGGTGCCCTCCTCCCGTGCTGGAGTGCCTGAATTGCCTCGTCCCAGCTCCGCTTCCTATACAGCATCCTTCTGATGTGCACCCTGGGAGGCTGGAGTAGTTGGGCCCCTGCTGCTCACATGGGAGACCCGGATGGAGTTCTGGGCTCCAGGCTTTGACCTGACCCATACCTGGCTGTGGCCAGCATTTGGGGAGTGAACCAATGAGTAGGAGCTCTCTTTCTAGCTGCCTCTCTCTCTCTCTCTCTTGCTCTTTTGCTCTGCCTTTCAAATAAATAAACTTTTAAAAAAATATTTTAAAAGTTAATTAAGGATTATAGAAGATGACTAAGAGGGAAGTCATTTTTAAGCTGTTCTACTGTCTTGTCCAATTAATACAAGTGGCAAATGGTTGAAATGTGGAACCCTCTGCCTACATTTCAAAACCATTTACTGTTTGTTGTGAGTTAACTGCCTTTAGGCCTTTAAAGCAAAATTATCTTCTTGATGATAGGAGCTTAAGTTCCACTTAAAAACACATTACAGAAATGGTGAGAATTAGCAAGGGGGTATCTTTGTTAGCATAGGCCAAATGCCCCAGAAAGCAAGAGCTCCAGAGAGCTGCAGTCGTCTTGGGAAGGATAAGACATACTTCAGAAACTCACCTGCAAAGTAAGTTAGAAGTTTCCAGAATTCTAAGACAGGGAGGAAAGAGGAATCTTTCTGTGGGCCTGTTCGCATATCCCAGTCCAGAGACTGAGTCTGCTTCTTCAGGACACCTCGAGGTTTTATTTTATTTATTTATTTTGTCAACAGAGGATGTACCTTTCAAGACAACTCTGTGAGACTTCCAGCCTCAAAATAATGGTGGTGAGGTTTAGCTTTTTTAAAGCTGCATTTAAGAGATTGTTACTAGGCTGCTTTTTGTGTGCATGTGATGTTTAATAGACGAGCAGTTAGAGTCCAGCTTGGTAGCCTTGCAAGTAAGGCTTCAGCCACCACTTAGCTCACAACTGGAAACAGAGGAGGCTGGTGAGAGAGGGTGTGTTACTCAGGGTGCTGTGTTAGAGACACGTGTCTGACAGCGACAAGTTCTTCTTGCCCTACTAGGGGAACCGCTTCACTGTCCTGCTCTATCACTTCGTCACATTTTTGCTTCAACAGCTTCTTTGCCCAGCCCTTTCCCTTTATTGGAGTGTTTCACTCTCATTTATTTAGAACTTAGAGGTTCTGCTCGGCTAACCACTCCGGGATTGGGTTCATGTCTTTCCTCACTGTGAGCAGCTGCAGCAGAAGTGGGCAGAGGCGGGAGAGGAGCGATGCTCACACACGTTGCTGTTCCCACTGACACTGTCGGAGTGGGGAGGCTGAGCAGGCGGGCGGGGCGTAACTGAGTCACTGCATTTAAATACGCTGGTAATCTGGGATAAATGAGAGTAGCAGTAGGTTCTTTCGTAGACCAAATTATGCTGAAATGGTGGATGTTGGTTGACGTTTTGAAAAGGCATTTGAGTTCCATTTGCTACAAATTTACTTAGTTAGATTGACCATTTTCTTTCATTTTTCTATTGCGCTTGCTTTGCCATCACCTAGATATCTTGGCTCTTACGCTAGCTATGACTACTTGAAAAGGAGCATCAAGTGGTAAGACTGGCATCAATGTGAGGCTGTTCCATGAAGCGTCCCTCACTGTGTCATTGGCATTTATGTGCACTTTCAGTTCTTAACACCATCTTCAAGCATTTTAAGTAAATGCACAAAAGCAAGGAAACAGCATAGTTTAAAGTGAATCATAAGACTCTTCAGTGGATGTCTTCTGTGAAACGAACATGCATTCCGGTGTATATGCTGTTGTTGGTGCACATAGAGCCAGTGCAGCTTTGGCACTCTGCAGTAAGGTTTAGATGGCAATGTTGCAATTATGGGTCTATTTAAAACATTTCTTTTGTGTGAATTTTGTGTTATCTATTAATAATTGGCAATCCGAAAAAATAAGGATACATGGCACAATTCAACTTAAATAAGCCTTGTCAAATAAAGAAATATCTGCTACACTAGCAGTCACTAAAGAAACAAAAAAGAGGTGGTAAATCAAGGGCAAGTTTTAAAGTGAAACCTGTCCAGGTTTTTAGTTTTACTGGAACACAGCTGTGCCCGTTTGTTTGCTGTCTGACTGCTGAATAGTCGTGACAGAGGCTTTATGGCCCAAAAAGCCAACAGCACTTACTGTCTGGCTCTTCAATGAAGAATTTCCCAACCCTGTGATGTGTGTTGTCACTTTTTCGGTACTCTGAGTGTGCCACATGCCAAGGCTTCGTAACTTAGATACAAAATTAGAAGTGAGTCTAAGGAAGATTTGTGCCAGGATATATTTTTTCAAAAAATATTTGAAGACTTTCTTTAAACCTATCTATCAATACTAATTTTTTTGTAAATTGACACAAATATTAAAAGTATACCCAAAATTTCATCTGCCTTTTGATTGCTATCTTCTGGATGTTGTACTAATACTCTTCGAGTTATCTGTGCTGTCTTGACATTTCTTGTGCTGGTGAATGGTTGAATTTGTTTGTATATTTTAGTAGAGTGGCTACCCACATTCAAGAGAAGAGATTGGGAGATGTCTGGGTTTTTGGTTTTTCTTTTGAAAATGAAGGGTACTTGGAAGAATGAGAACATGTTTGGTAACTGGGAGTCCATTTTCAGGTATTGTCATTTTCTTCATTTTTTTTAACAGGGGGAAAGCTGAAGCTGATGCTCTGGACCGATCGTTTGGTGAGAAGCGCTATGAGCCAGTGCAGCCCACCCCTCCCCCTCCCCCACTGCCCTCGCAGTACTCGCAGGCGGCCCAGCCTGGCGCCAGCTCTTCTCTCCACATGCACTCGAAGGGGATACATGGTGAAGGTAGGCAGCGCACAGGTGACATTGTTAAAGTGGCGTAGTATTATTTAAGAGGTTAAGTTCCTCATTTCTAAGCACGTGGTTCTTATTTAAAAAATCCATAACTGGTGGTGGGCATTTAGCCTAACAGTTAAGACGCTGATTGGAATCTGCTAATGCAGATTGTGCAAGGCAGCAGTGGTAGCTCATGTCCCTGTGTTCCTGCTGTCACATGGGAGACCTGGATTCAGTTCCCAGCCTCCAGCTTTGGCCCTGGTCCAGCCACAGCCGCTGCAGGTATTTTGGGAGAGAACATGTGTATATGGGAGTGCGTACTAGTTCTTGCTCTGTCTGCCTCGCAGATTTACAACAAAACACGTAATAACTATCTCCTTTTGGCTGGGAACGTTTTTGTGACTATGACCAACATGTTGGGCAAAGCTTTTAGCTAAATATAAGGATAATTCCAGAAGTCCATGGAATATGTATATGATGAAGGAACTACATGGATTCTAAAATTTTTTCCACACCAAAACTTTTAAATTCCATTTTTCTTTAAACTTTTTTGAAGCACTCTTAGATTTTAATCTTCTTATTAACCTAGCTCTTGTTTTTCACCAGTCACCAAATCTTGAAGTCACTGCTGCTTACCACTGTATCTAAATTTAAATATGTAAATGATAGTTTTATAAAAGGCATGGTCCATCTTCACATAAGGACAGAGGGACATCATAAAGTTTTGCATAAAACATACCCCATAGCACTTTGCCTTCTGTATTTAGAATCTTTGGTAAAATGTCTGCATTATTGGATAACGTATCATTCGTTTATTCATTTTAATAGCCGTATATGACTAATTACCTGTTCTGCTAACACTGTGCTAATTCAAACAGTACTTCTCTACTGTTTACATAGGAGTCCAATTCCAGGATGGATAAGTCTTCTACCAAATTGTAGTTCTGCATTGACATTACTCAACAATAAAATTTTCTTCAAATACTATCATGTCTACAGATAAAGACAAGTTTGAACTATCTTCTTTCCAATCTTTTTTTTTTAATCATTTAAAGATTTATTTATTTATCTGAAAGAGCTACAGAGAGACAAGGAAAGACACAGAATCCCCAGATGGCCACAATGGCCTGGGCTGGGCCAGGCTGAAGCCAGGAGCCAGGAGCTTCATCCAGGTCTCCCGCCAACCTGGGTGCAGGGGCCCAAACATTTGGGCCATCCTCTGGTGCTTTCACAGGCCATTAGCTGGGAGCTGGATGGAAAGTGGGACAGCTTGGACAAAAACCGGTGCCCACTTGGGATGCCAGCGTCACAGGTGGTGGCTTTACCTGCTGGACCACAAGGCTGGCCCTTGATCTTTAGGCCTTTACTTTCTGACCTTTTTGCGCTGGCCAGGACCTCCAATGAACTGTTGAATGAAAATGCTGAAAGCATGCATCTTTTGCTCATTCCCACGTTAAGGAGAAAGGATTGAATGTTTCACGCTTGTGATGTCAGCTGTAGGTTTTTTTCAGGTGGCTTTTACTATGTTGAAGAAATGGCCTCTGTTCCTACTTTGCTGAAATCATTTTTTTCTACATGTGTTAAGGAGACCATATGATTTTTCTCCTTCATTCTCTTAATGTTAGATTATATATGAATTATATCCTCAGGTCTTTAGGAATTTGGATTAATAACCTTGTAAGTCCTTGGTGAGCTTTACTATCAGAGTCGTGGTGGTTTTATAAGAGAGAGCTGGGACACATCCCTACTTTTTTCTATTCTCTTAAAGAGTATGAACAACATAGTTGTTACTTTCTCCTTACTTATGTCATAGAATGCAGTTTATACCATTTTACACTGCCTCCCTCATCTGTGAATGGAAATTCCTCTTGTTCCACATCTTAGCCAACACTTCACATTACACATTTCAGTTTTGCCATTCTGTGAGATGTGAAATGCTATTTAATGTATTTTTCTCTTCTATGTTTTCCTATTTGATAGTAAGGTTGAGTGTCTTATTGCCTGCTTACTGGACATTCTAGTTTTTGCCTGTTCATCTTCCCTTAGCATCACACGGTCTGCCCAACGCCGGGCCTCAGCTCCAGCACCAGGACAAGTTAAGCCCAGAGAGATGTCAGAGGGGCTGTAAAAACTTCTGCCAGATAGTTTGTAAATGTTTGTATGTTTGTTTTGCAGGTAATTCAATGTCATTGGATTTTCAGAATTCTTTGGTATCCAAACCAGACCCACCTCCATCTCAGAGTAAGCCAGCAGCTTTCAGAGCACCGCACCGAGACGATGCCGCTCAGCCTGCTTTATATCCCCAGAAAAGCTTCCCGGAGAAAGCCCCCGTTAATGGAGCTGAACAGACTCAGAAAACCATCACTCCAGCCTACAACCGATTCACACCAAAACCATATACCAGTTCTGCCCGGCCATTCGAGCGCAAATTTGAAAGTCCTAAGTTCAACCACAATCTTCTGCCAGGTGACACTGTACATAAACCTGACTTGTCTGCAAAAGCCCCAGCTTCTCCAAAAACTCTTATGAAAGCGCACAGTTCCACACAGCCTCCTGAGTTTGACAGTGGAGTGGAAACTTTCTCCATCCATGCAGAGAAGCCCAAGTACCAAGTAACTAATATCAGCACAGTGCCTAGAGCTGCTCCTGTGGGGTAAGATACTTGCCTTTGTTTGAAATGTTGGCTGCACTTAGTCTTAGGAGAGTTTGATCTAGGTTATGAGATTGAGGACTTGTAATGATTTAACTCTGACCTCCACGGAGTGTGCTGCCACAAATGCCATCACTGACAACGCCCCTCGGGATGTCCAAGATGTCAGTGAAGTTCTAAAGCTGATAGCTCTGTGGTTGGTAGGTGTTGTCACTGTCCCTGTTTCACCACAGGCTGAAGGTGAGTGACAGGGAACAGTTTGCCCCAGTCTCAGAGCTACGGTGAGCTGAGCCTCGATGCAGCCCTGGTTGTCTGAGCTCAGAGCGTGCGAATGAGCCTTGGCCTCCAAGTGACATGTATGCAATCTAGCCTTCTACTTGTGGAGTGCGTTTGGAGAGTATCTATGTCTTTGCCCCCCATTTTTTCAAGAATGCTAAAAATAATAAAGATGTAGTATCATTGAAGTGGCTGTTACAACAGTTAATGTTGAGTAAGATGAGCTGAACAAGTGAGACAAAGCAAGCCCACCTGGAGCCGCCTCCAGTACTCTTCCCATTGCACAGAGGCTCGCCAGGCCCATTCTGCTGCACCTAATCTCTCAGCCTCCTAAATCCAGCTAAACTGTCAAGCCAGCCTCGGGGCAGAAGCCCTTGCAGGCAGAACCAAGGCCCAGGGAGGCCATTGGCAGTCTGCTTCCCCCGAGGAGACGGTTGTGTCCATTGGCTGCCCTCCTCTCTGGGTGTGCATGAGGTTCAGGCCAGGGGCTGCATGGTGCTGCTGCCCCAGGCCGTGGACTCTGCTGCCGCGTGCCTGCGCCGCAGGAGGCCGTCTCGCCGGAGTGAAGCTTCAGTTAACCTTCACATACTTTGTTGTTGATCCGTGTGTCATCTTACATTTAAGTCCTGGCTCAGAACGTGACTTCGGTAAGTCCCGATAGCCTCCATTTTTAAAGCAGATTCCTTTGCCCTTGGTGTTCTCTTGTCCGAGGTAAGCTAGTGTCTGTTTTGTGGGTGTATGCGATGTATTCATACCAAAGTCTCACCTTGTAGAACCTTGGAGGCCATGCTTTTCGCAACAGGGGTGTTTGTCAGTCAGGGAGTGTGGAGGAAGGAGCCGTAATGTGCCCGCGTAGAATCCCAGCAGATTTTAAGGTGCTTTCCATTGTAAGATGCACGGTTATTTTATGTATCGTTAGAAAGGGAAAAGAATGCTACCAATTAAAATGCGGCTTACCCTCAGCTATAAAACACCAATTTCATGGATGTTAAAATGTGTTGCTTGGGGTGGACATTGTGACGCCGTGGGTTAAGCTGCATAGTGGCACAGCCCCATCCCATGTTGGAGTGCCAGTTCAAGTCCCAGCTACTGCACTTTGGATCCATTTTGCTGCTGATGTTTCTGGAAAGGCAGCAGAGGATGGCCCAGGTCCCTGGATCCCTGCCACCCATGTGGGAGATCCAGATAGAGTTCCTGGCTTTGCCCTGGCCGAGCCTTGGCTGCTGTGGACATTTGCAGAGTGAACCAGTGGGTGGTGGGTCTCCCTGCCTCTTCCTCTTTCTGTCACTCTGCCTTTCAAGTAAATATTTTTTTTTAAATGTTATTAGTAGTTGGGTGAACACAGTGTCAAATTTTTACATTTAGATTGCAAAATCAGTAATGAATGTGACTTGTCTAGTTACCTTCAAAAATACAGTGGATAAGAATACATTCTTATAGTTATGTAAACACAGGTATCTATAACTGAGGGAAATCATCACTAATTGCTTATTAACGTAAGAAGCATACTGGTTATATAGAGGAACAAAGGGAAGCCACCTCCTGCAGAGGTCCTAACAGAAACTGCCTGCATGGCGTTGGGAGTGTACTCATTAGCCGTTTCTCAACTCTCAGCCCATCCGCTGTGGAAGAAGATGAAGACGAGGATGGGCACACTGTGGTGGCCACAGCCCGAGGCATATTTAACAGCAATGGTGGGGTTTTGAGCTCCATAGAGACCGGCGTCAGTATAATTATCCCGCAAGGAGCCATTCCCGAAGGAATTGAGCAGGAAATCTATTTCAAGGTCTGCCGGGACAACAGCATCCTCCCACCTTTGGATAAAGAGAAAGGTAGATGCTGCTTTTGTTGATTCTTATTAATGTAAAGGGAATAGATCTCATGTATCTCATAGGTACAGTTCTAAGAAGATAACCATCCATCCTCCCTCCCTCTCTCCTTCCTTCCTTTCTTCCTTCCTTCGTTTTTTGTCTTTAATTTTTGCAAAAACATGCTTTCAATCAGCTCTGTAATCACAGGCTTAATTCACCACCAACCATGATATTCAAGGAGTGAAAATTAGGAGGACTGTAGTTCCACAGGGGTATAAACGAGGGCTAAAAACAAGAGTCTTATCACAAGATGTCTGTTTTATTCCTTTACTTTTTTTAATATTTTATACTAACTGCCACATATCAGAAAACATGATCAATTTGACTTTTGGGGACTGGCTTATGCATAGTGGTTTCCAGTTGCATAAATGTTTCTGTTTCTGCTTAGTTTTAATAATGTAAGAATTGCCTTCTGTGCACTTGAGAACTTACGGTGCTCAACGAAGGGAGACCACAGCAGCCTCTCTTCTGCCTGCACGTCGGGCCAGCCAGAGCCTGTGCCGTCCATCCGTGCGGGCACACAGTACGTGCTCACAGAGAGTAGCACCATGGGGACCTTCCGCAGGATACTGTGCTTTCAGTATGAAAGCAGAGGTGCTGGCAGGTGACAGCCCATCCGGCATCCCTCACACATGACTGCCAGGCAGTCTTGGCTGTATCAGGTCACACCCTCCATATGTGTGGATGGGTTAGGTGACACCCACTCTGCCTGCTGGCTGACTGTACACGTAGAAGGTAAGCCTCTGGGGCAGGTGCTGTCTTCCTCATCTCTCCTGAGCCTCACGCTAGTGAACGCTCTGCTGAGTGAATGAAACATCCTGAGGGTGGGACTGCATGTTTCTGTGCTGCCGAAGCAGCACGGGAATGCTGTCAGTTTCCTGCCTTCCCTGGCCTGTCAGGCTGCTGCCGCCTTGCTGAACTGCTGAAGAGCTTCTTCACATCTCTCAGTCTCTCAGCAGTGTTTCACTACGTTGCATTAGCTCTCTTTCCTAACATCTGATTCTATGATCGCATTCTAGGGTAATTTGTTTAAAAAAAAAAAAAAACAATAGGACTGACTGTGTTATCCTTGTATGAACCCCTTAAACCATGTTTGTAGCAAAATGTTAAAATGTGTGTTTAGCCTAGTAGTCAAGACATTGGTTAAGGTGCCTGCGTCCCACATCAGAGCACCAGGGTTCACTTCCCAGCTCTGACTCCTGGTTCAGCTGAGGAGACGCTGGGAGACAGCAGTGAGGGCCCAGCAGTGGAGGACCCACCACTCATACATGTGGGAGATCTGGATTAGTTCTTGGCTCTTGGCTTTGGCCTTGGCCCAGCCCTGGTCATTGTGACATTTGAAGAGTAAACCAGCAAGTGAGAACACTCTTTCTTGCTCTCACCCTTCCTGTAAAATAGAAAAGTAGTTAAAATGGAAGGTACAAGTAGTAACGTTTGTGAAAAGTGCACGTCAGTGTTTTCTGCTACAGACTCATAGGACTCATATGACTGCATGCATTAGCTTGTGGCTATTTAGCACTGTTTTGAATTAAAATCTGCTAGAAATGTAAATATACACTGATTTCAAAGCTAGTATTGATTAAAAGTTGAAATAATAGTGTTGGTTATACTGAGTTGAGCAAATACTAAAATTGATGACACTTGTCTCTTTTTACTTTGTTGTGGCTCCTGGAAAAATTTTAATTATATTCATGATTTCTATTACAATTTCCTTGGTCAGAAGTGCTGTAGAGAACTAACCCTACTTGGTTTCAAAGTGTGTAATTTGGAGGGGGTGGGAAGAACCGAGTGTGGAAGGAAGACTGGCATCTAACCTGTGCACTCTCCTCTTCCCTCACTCCAGGTGAAACCTTGCTAAGCCCCTTAGTGATGTGCGGGCCCCATGGCCTCAAGTTCCTGAAGCCCGTGGAGCTGCGCTTGCCACACTGTGCGTCCATGACTCCTGACGGTTGGTCTTTTGCTCTAAAATCATCCGACTCCTCGTCGGGTATGCTGTCTTCACTCTGTCCTTTGGGGCTTTGGGTACTGTCGTTGATTAATCCTAGGCTGGTGATGTTGCCTGTGCTGTTTGTTAGCGAATCTCCACCTCTGTTCCTGTGGCCTTGTAGGCATCACTGGTTGATTTATGGTACATGTGCTGTCAACAGGTCTGCAAAGGCAGAGTAAAGTGTCTGCCTTTTGAAGAAATAATTTGGTTGAAAGTTGACTATTCCGTGGTGGTCACCAAAATGATTTGTTCTGTGAGAGGTTTCAGGACACAGTGGGAGAGCTGTGAACTGTGCTATGTATGCAGTCGTTTTATGTAGTTAATTCTAGTTCTGGTTACCATTCTTTAATTTCCTAATCTGCAAAGTATATATACCAGAAAAACTCCAATGACAAAAGATCTTCCATTGGGATCAGACTTGGCCATAATTTTTCAATGTAAAACTCTACATTAAACTTCTACTATATGTCATTTTAAAATTACTTCTTGCTCTTAAGATCATAATATCAGTGCTTCCATTGCATTTTGATATTTCTTGTTTCCTTCAGTAACTTATGTCAGTTACCCATTGGAACTTTATTTTTGGTACAGAAAACTTTATGAGAACCAGATAGAAAAATAAGAATTTAAAATTCTGCTTCTAAATTTTTGGTGAATCAGTTGGGCATTGTTGAGTGCGTTGCTTGGTTTTAGTTTGGTACAATATGAAGTAAAAGGTTATGGTCTAAAGTTTGTAGTAGAGGTATTTTATTGTTATCCAACAGAAAAAAATGATATATATATATATATAAACATAAATTTTCTCAGGGACTCCCCAGAGAAATATTCTTTAGTGTAGGTTCAGTTAGTGGAGGAATATTAATAAAACTGCATTTAAAGGTTATATTCCAGAAGTCAAAAGTCAGGCTCTGACTGCCCTCCACACCAGATGAGGGCAGATATCTTGAACAACCACCTTGGTAGTTAGCCTGCTTTGTCAGTGGTCCTATCTGAAGTATAAGTGATTTGCACATTTGCTACTTCCATTGTTTTATGCCATAACATAAAATGTTTTGGTTAGATTTTTTTTGTTAAATTCGAGTATATTCACCCAGAAAATAAGTGTTATTGATGTAATACTGTGTGACTATAGATTGCATTGCTACTATAAATTTCTGTTCAAAAAGTCAGTGTAGATTTTGATGACTCCAACAAAAACTAGTCTCTTGTGAAGAAACTGGAGCCTAAAGATGAGATACCTATTTTATTTCCTTTAAAAGTGGTGCCATTAAGTGTATCTCATTGCCTGAACAGTTTGTTCTCTATGGTGTAACATAGCCTTTATATTCGTATATCGAAGAAATTGAATCACTTTTTAACTGTTCATCCCATCATTTTTAACTGTTCATCCCATCATGAAATGCTATTGACTTCAGATAATACTTAGGCAGTAAGTATGTAGCTGGCTGATGTAGGCAAGAGTGCACCAAGTGGCACTGTTGACATTGTGGCCAAATAATCTTTTGTTGTAGGGACTGTCTTTTGTATTTGGGATGTTTAGCTGTTTCCCTGGCCTCTACCTACTAGGTGCAAGTTGTAACCAAAAAAAAAAAAAAAAAAAATCCCTAGATATGGCTCCTTGGGGACAGAATCACTCCTAGCTGAGACTACTGCTGCAGAGGAACCGAAGGTCAACAGTTCTGACTGTCCATGCACCTAGATCCCACAGAGACATTTAGTCATCCCAGCACTCTCTCATTTAGTACCCACTCCCGGGGGTGCTTAGCTCTGGTTACAAATGTGAAATCCCCAGGAGCTTGTTCAGCACTCACATGCCCCAGACCTGCCCCAGACCTGCCTCGGACCTGCATGGGCAGTTCTGGAAGCTCTGTGAATGGTTTTGAACCAGAGTCACAGCTGAGCTACTACGGCACAGTTTTCCTGGTCGGCTTGTTTGGGGTTTTCCCTTTGGCTTTCCTGTTTGTCCTGTTTTTTTAAGGAGTAAGAAGGTCTTTAGGAACGAGATTCTGTGGAACTTTCAGGGTTGGTTTGTTGGTCTGTAGCTGAGTGTGAGTGATGTGCTCATGTACTCAGCTCAAATGGGTGATCGGTTGTTATGTGAAAGTGGAAGAAAGATGTTGTTCATCATTGGAACTTAGGGACAAGCTGAGACTACCTCAGGCACATGGTTGTCCTTTAACTCATTTTTGAGAAGACTGTTGAACGTTTTGAATCACAGATGCCAGCAAATCTGCATTGAAGGGCAGCACCGAGAGTTTTGCTGTAAGTACAGTGTGTTGAAGTGACAAGGGAAAAGCGTATTTAAATACGTATCTACTTGCATTTTGTCCCTTAGTTGCAAGCATGATGCATAGCAATTTAGGCAACTAAATGACGTCAGCTTCTTTTTCTCTCCTAGGTGATCCTAAAACCTGGCAAAACAAGTGTCTTCCTGGAGATCCAAATTACCTTGTGGGAGCAAACTGTGTGTCTGTCTTGATTGACCACTTTTAATTCTGAAGCTACAGGAACTTGATTAAATAATGTGAAGCTGGGTTAAATTTACCAAGTCTAAAATGGAACCACTCTATCAAGTATTCTATTTTTCTTAGAATTGATACTACAGTTTGTTCATATTAAACATTTGTTTGGACTGGTCAAGACTGTGCGCATGCCCCTGAACCATGAGCAGAACACATGCCGCAAACTGCATGTCTGCCACTGAAGAACTCTTGCTATTGGCTGGAGGTTCAAAGATACTTTGCTCTGTAATGATTTTGTACTTGTTTTTATGGTCACTGCTTCACTTCACATACTGATTTCCGTTAAAATACCAGCCACTAATGGGGGTGCATTTAGTTCTGTTATTTCCAAAGTACATTGTTTCAAACTTTATTATGGCTCTGGCCTAACACACATATTTTATTTTATTATGCATGAAGTAATATGCACTTGTTTTTTAAACGCACCTGGAATATATAACCAGTATAGTGGATTTAACAGAAGTGTACAGCAAGGGGAATTTGTGACTTTGGGTGGGGAGGGTTTCAGGTGAAGACAATTACACACCTCTCTTAGGGAAGGACACCAAAGCATGTGAGACTGGCTCCGTGGCCTCTTTGGATCTAGAGATTCACCATATCACCACCGATGTACTGACCAGCAGGAATGCCTTACCCTCATGTTTTTAATTCTTAGATCAGTTTCGCTGTGTATTACTAAGTTCTTATGGCTTTTGTGCACATCTAGATACTGTATCATGAACAAGATTGGATCAATGTGGAGTTGGTGGTTTCAGAAACGTATAAATCACCCAGAAGAAAATAATGGTGTGATTTAGGGAATTTTCCTTTTTTTTTTTTTTTGCCAAGGGGCAGTGGTTGTTTTCTTTTGGGCTTGCATTTGAACACTTTGATGTTTTAAGGATGCTTGTACATAATGCGTGCATACCACTTTTGTTCTTGGTTTGTAAATTAACTTTTATAAACTTTACCTTTTTTATACATAAACAAGAGCAGGTTTCTAAAGGCTACCTTTATATTCTCTCCTGTACCTCTCGAGCCTTGAACTTCGACCTCTGCAGCAATAAAGCAGCATTTCTATGACACACACAAGGTCATTTTTTAAAGAAAAAGAATGCACAGAGTTGTTACATTTTTAAGTGCTGCATTTAAAAGACAGTTATTCAGAGTTCTCTAGTTTGATTAAATTCTTGCAAAGTATCCTTATTGTAATTTGTGATACAATGCTGTGCCCTAAAGTGTATTTTTTTACTAATAGACAATTTATTATGGCACATCAGCACGACTTCTGTTCAGATAATACACCACTACTTTCTGTTAATCATTAGGTGTGACTGAATTTCTTTTGCAGTTATTGAAAATCTCAAATTTCTAAATACGCGGAATAAACTTTTTAAAATAAAGTGCTGGTGTGGTCTGTTTGCCCACTGTTTCTGGTTTCCTGTGAACTTACAAGCCCATTTTAAGATCCTGCACATGAATTTTCCTCCCCCAGGGTCCTGCCACCTCCAGGGGCCTGCTGCTGCCCGGGCAGTGTGCCTGTCCCGAGCTCAGTACGTTGTCCTGCGGGGTGGGCAGTGCTAAGCAGAGGGCTCAGAACAGAGGCCATCAGGGAGCCTTGCCGAGGCGGGAGAGCCGGAGAGCAGGCAGCACGCTGCTTCGTGTCTCCCCAGTGCAGTGTACGCGTATGTGTCTTTATGTCTGTACCCGTGTTCATTAGTTCCTCAGAAAGATGACATGGGCATTATGGGCATTTTGTTGTGTCACTGCATTTAGGAAGGAAAATGCCTTTTAATGGCTCTGAATACTCCCTTGTAGGTGCCATATGTATTTAGCCACCACCACTGTTGATGTTGAAGTTGTTGCTGAAGTGTTTTCTGGGTATCTTTGTGAAGGTAGCCCTTTGTTGCAGATTTTATGTCATTTTCTTCATTAAGGTATAATTTACATATTTTACAGTGGATTGTTTGCCACATTTTGATGAACACATACTATGCTAATCGTCACCACAGTTAACACGCAGAACAATTTCTTCATCCCTAGAATCCCTGTTCTGACCCCGGAGAAGCAGTGATCTCCTTTCTTTTCCTGTACTTCCTGTTTGAGAATGTCAAAAAATGAAATCATACAATATGTGGCCTTTGAGAATGATGCATTTATGATATCCCAGGAATCCGTTTTTATTGCTGAGTACGGTTCCATTGTGTGGCTGTACCAGTTTGTTTATCCATTCCCTGGTTGAGGAACTTTTGGCTTGTTTCTTGGATATTATGAAAAAAACTGCTAGAAGCATTTGCACACAGGTTTTTATGTGAATATACATTTTTATTTCACTTGACTAAATCCCTAGGAGTGGAACACTGGGTTACTTACTGCTGGCGTGTTTAATCTTATAAAAAACTCCTGCGTTGTTTTCCAGGGTGGCTGCAGCACTTTGCACCCAGCGGCATGGGGTTCCAGCAGCCCCATGTTGTCACCAGCAGTTGCTGTCGGCCTTGTATCTTCACAGGTTCTTGTGGTTTTGATTTCTCCCTAATCACTCATGATGTTGTTCTTCTAGTTGAAAGGCAAAGTGACAGAGATCCCAACCAGTGGTTCACTCCCCACATGCCCACAACAGCCAGGGTTGTGCCAGGCCAAAGCTGGGAACCCCACCCTGGTCTCTCATGTGGGTAGCAGGGACCTAAGTACTTGAGATGTCACCTGCTGCCTCCTAGGGTCTGCAGCAGCTGGACCAGAAGCAGAGGCAGGACTCAGTCCTAGGCATTCTGGGAATGCAGGCATCATAGGCAGCTGCTTTTCCACTGCACCACAGCACCCACCCTTGAGCAGCTGTCAGTGCACTTGCTGCCATATGTCCTTTTCAGTATAGCAAAGCTTCATATCTTCCCCTTCTTTAAAAATTGTGTTGTTGAGTTTTGACAGTTCTTTATGTATTCTGGATGTGAACACATAGATACATGATTTGCAAATATGCTTTCTCGGTCTGTTCTTCTTTAGTGTCTGTCAGAGAGCAGAGTTAGTAATTCTGGTGAAGCCCAGTTATTCATTCAAAGACTGTCCAAGAAATCATTGAGGCACAAAGGTTTTTTTAAAAATGTAGGCAAATGAGAGAATTCCCATCTGCTCGTTCATGCCCCCAGATACCCACCCTAGCTAGAGGACTGCAGCTGGAAGCCAGGGACGTGACACAAGTCTCCCACGTGCGTGACGGGGACCGACTGCTTGAATGCTCACCACCGCCTCCCAGTGTCTGCATTTGCTGGAAACAAATTGAGCTGAAGGTGCGTATCAAACCCAGGTGCTCTGATACGGGGTGTGGGAGTCTTCACTGCTAGGCCAAATGCCTGCCCCTACCCAAAACATTTTTATCCTAAGTTTTCTCTTATTTTTTTTTTAAGGTTTTACATTGATATCTATGGTCTGTTTTGAGTTAATTTTATATATAGGAGAAGGTGTGTGTTGAGTTTTATTTAGCCTTTTTAATGTGTCCTTAACTGTAAACGCAGACCCGCATACTAAGCCTCAAGATGAGGTTGGGTTTCTGTATGAATAAATGGGTGAAATGAGTGTAGCTTGCTGTCTGCTGCATGGACCTGCGTGAAAGCCAGGCCAGGTTGATGGATGTACTCCGTAGAACTTGGTGAACTCCCAGCTCACTTGATGTCTTAGCAAATCATTCACTGGGAGCAACTCACCCACGGCATCGAGCAAGTGGAGCTGACCCAGGTGTGGGTAGACCATGATCCTGAGTGGCTCCAGTCTAGACAGGGATGCAGCTGACCAAGGGATGTGGCCACAGGTGCAGGCAAGGTCACACCAGGCAGATGGGAATGAGTTTCCAGTTCGCCTTGACTTGGCCATTGAATACGGGCCAGGGAGCCAGCACCTGTTTCCTGGATGGCTGGCAGAAAGCATACCACAGCACTGCACCCGGATTCATCCCAACTCCAGTCACTGAGGCTGCCTGGGCAGCCGTACAGAAGGAGCAGCGACCTCCCTTCTCATTTTGCTTAACCAGGTTTCCCCGGGTGGATCGTGGAAGATCCAATGTAACGTGCTTTCCTGGAACCGTAGAGTCATCCTGCAATAAATGTGGTCACAGTAAAAGCTCAAGCGATTGCAGTTTTAAAATACTCAATTACTTTACCCCTTAGTGTGTTTTCCTGTTAAACCACTTGACAGTGAAATAAACACTAACTAACCCAAGTTACAGAAATACAGAAACTTATAAAGTATACAATAAACTTAGAATTCCAAATTTAAAAAAATGGCTAAAGCAAAGTGTTTGTATTCCATTCCTATTTTGTAGGAAAATTTTTTCCTTTACAGATGGCCTAAAGGTGCATGCACCCTGCCATGTGTTTCCTCTGTTCCAAGTTATCACTCAGGTTCTCAGGGAGTTTGCAGGCGGCGCTTGGAGAAGTCTGGAACTGCCGCAGTCTGACACTCTCCCCTGGCAGTGCAGGCTGTTCGCGTGAGCTGTGTCGCCAGTTGTCTGGGAGACCACATGCCTGTCCTGTTCTGTTACACTCAAGGTCTCTGCCTGCTGGGGTAGTGCCTGTCAAGGGTGCTGCGTCACCAGGCCTTCACTCGGAGCACAGAGAAGTGAGACTGATGGGTCGGAGTTGCCCTCTTGGATTTGCCCATGGAAGTCATGCAGACGTTGCGATTTCAGTGTTACCTGTGCTAGGGTTGATGGTCACAGATTGATTGGTTAATTTTTGAGGCTGCAAGGATACCATTTGTCCACAGATAACTTCCTGGTCATGAGTGGATTTGAAAACATGCAGGTGGCAATCTTTTTTACCCTATAAACAGAACATGGAAACTGATATGCCCAATATGCTGGTAAGGTTTAATGTTGAAGGGGAAGCCCAGAATTCACAAATGCCCCTTCAGTACTTGGTCATGGACGTGTGGCAGGAACCAGCGTGGACCAAGGGCTGTGGGTTCCTAGAGGCACCTGGAGGACATGGGCTTCCAGTGCACCATGGATCCGGAGCCTCTGGAAACACCATGTGGCGCTCCCTGAAACAGGACCAGGAGACAGCGGAAGGTGGGCCTGTGTTGATGGCTGTCGGCGGAAGAACTGCACAGGGAATGCTGCGGAGAAACCAAGCGTTCCTCCCTGCGTGGCTTCCAGCCCGCTGCCTGCCACCCAGCAGCCTAGCCCGTGTCACCCAGGGAGAAGGGCCTTAGTTCTTTGTTTTCAACATACTTTTCACACTTAAAAGTTGCAAGAGCAACACACCATTTGTAAGAATAATACAGAGAACTCATACTCTACCCAGTGTCCCCAAGTGTTGGGTTTGTGCACATGCACCCTAGGGATGTACAGGTAGCTTGTCTGCCGTAACAGATGCCATGGACTAGGTGAACTAACACCAGAGTCACAGTTGTGGAGGCTGGAAGTCCACAGAAGGGTGTGAGTGTGGTCACTTTGGGGAAGGCTGACCCCCATTTCCCCAGGGGTATTCCGCTAAACGGGGTGTCCTGTAGGCACAGGTAAGTCAAACTGGCTGGTACTTTTGTTCAGAACTTGTGTATCCTCTGTCTAGTTCCAGCCCCAATTGTTGAACTGCCTGTTTCTCCCTTCAATTCTGTCACTTTTTATTTCATGTATTTTGAGTTCTGTTATAAGGAGCACATATGTTTATCACAGCTGTATCCTTCCTTCCTTGTGTCTCCAGCAATTTTTTTTTTAAAGATTCATTTATTTTGGAGGAAGAGTTGCACACAGAAGGAGAGACAGAGAGGTCTTCCATCTGCTGGTTCGCTCGCGGAGCTGGGTCAGTCTGAAGCCAGGAGCCAGGAGCTTCTTCTGGGTCTCATGAAGGTACAGGGGCCCAAGCATTTGGGCCATTTTCCGCTGCTTTCCCAGGCCATAGCAGAGAGCTGGATAGGAAGTGAAGCAACCAGGATATAAACCAGTGCCTATATGGGATGCTGGCACCACAGGTGGAGGTTTAATCTACTAGGCCACAGCACCAACTTCAATATTTTGTTTTAAAAGTCTGTTTTAAAATTAGTATAGCCACTCAGGTTTATTATGTCCACTGAGTGGTATCTCTTTTTCATCCTTTGAATCCATTTTCTTTTGCATATAAAAAGTCTCTCACAAAGCATACTGATTCGATTGATCTTGTTTAGTTACCTCGTCTGTCCCTGCCTTTTTTTGATTGGAGTGCTTAATCCATTTATATTCAACTATTGGTAAGATTCAATTTAGGCCTGCCATTCGACCCATGTTTATTACAGGTCTCAACTCCCCCCCCCCCATTTCTTTTTTATTGCCCTCTTTTTTGTGAAATAGTTTCTGGTATTTTCTTTGAATTCTTTGTTTTTCATGTTTTATTTTTGTTTTTATGTTATTGGTTGCTGTAGCAAATACGAATCTTCA